TAGGGATGCCAGTATCCTGAGCAGAAGAAGAGTCCTTCTTTGCGTACATGGGTCTAGGGACGTTCACGACAGGGGCGGCGACGTGGCCAGGAGGAGGCGCACGCTTCTTGAGAGCCTTGCCGACGGCGGCGTCAGCGATCTTGAGCGCCTCTTGGTCGACGGTGAACTGAATAGGGGCAGAAGCTGCCTGCGTACGCAGGTAGTACATGCCCGTCTTGAGACCAAGCTTCCAGCCGGCGAAGTGCATACTGGTGATCTTGCCCATTGTCGGGTCCTTCATGTGGATGTTAAGGGACTGGGACTGGTCGATGAAGGCACCACGGTCGGCAGCCATCTGAACAACGGTGCGCTGGGAGATCTCCCAAACGGTCTTGTACAGAGCCTTGACCTCAGCGGGAATGTTGGGGATGTTCTGGATAGAACCGTTCTCGGCGATGATACGGTTCTTCATGGCATCGGACCACAGGCCCATGTCGACGAGATCCTTCAACAACCAGGGGTTGACAACCTGGAACTCGCCGGCAAGAACACGACGTTGGTAGATGTTGGAGGTGTAGGGCTCGAAGCACTCGTTGTTGCCCAAGATCTGCGAAGTGGAGGCAGTAGGCATGGGAGCAACGAGCAAACTGTTGCGCACACCGTGCTCCTTGATCTGCTCCTTCAGTGAGTCCCAATCCCAGAGGTCAGAGGGCTTGACATTCCACATGTCGTACTGGAGGATACCCTGGGAGATAGGGGAGCCCTCGTACGTGGAGTAGGTGCCCTCCTCCTTGGCCAGCTGAACAGACATGGTAAGAGCAGCGTGGTAGATGGTCTCGAAGATCTTCTTGTTGAGATCACGGGCCTCAGGAGACTCGAAAGGCATGCGAAGGGCGAGGAAAGCATCAGCAAGACCCTGGACACCAAGACCAATGGGGCGGTGACGCATGTTGCTGTTGCGAGCCTCGGGAACGGGGTAGTGGTTGACATCAATGATCTTGTTCAAGTTGCGAACAACGACCTGAGTAACCTCGTGAAGCTTCTGGAAGTCGTAGACACCATCGTTGTAGTCAACGAAGGTGGGCAGAGCAAGGGAAGCCAAGTTGCAGACAGCGACCTCATCGGGTGCGCAGTACTCAATGATCTCAGTGCAAAGGTTGGAGCTGCGGATAGTTCCGAGGTTCTTCTGGTTGCTCTTGCGGTTGGCAGCATCCTTGTAAAGCATGAAGGGGTTGCCAGTCTCGGTCTGAGCCTCGAGGATGGCATACCAAAGCTTCTGGGCCTTGATGGTCTTGCGACCCTTGCCCTCGCGCTCGTACTTCTCGTACAAGGCCTCGAACTCCTCGCCATAGCAGTCAGCCAGGCCAGGGCACTCATTGGGGCACATGAGGGTCCAGTCGGCGTTCTTCTCGACTCTCTTCATGAACAGATCGGGGATCCAGAGAGCGAGGAAAAGGTCACGGGCACGGACCTCCTCCTTGCCATGGTTCTTGCGCAAGTCCATGAACTCGAAGACGTCGGCGTGCCACGGCTCAAGGTAAATAGCGAAAGCGCCAGGACGCTTGTTGCCACCCTGGTCGACGTAGCGAGCAGTGTTGTTAAAGACACGAAGCATGGGAATGACACCGTTCGAGGTGCCGTTGGTGCCGGCAATATAGGAGCCAGTGGCACGAATACGGTGAGCGTTGAGACCAATGCCACCAGCCATCTTGGAGATCATGGCGCAGGTCTTGAGGGTGTCGTAGATACCCTCAATAGAGTCTTCCTTCATGTCGACGAGGAAGCATGAAGACAGCTGGCACTGAGGGGTACCAGCGTTGAAGAGTGTGGGGGAGGCATGGGTGAAGAACTTGCTGGACATGAGGTTGTAGGTCTCGATGACGCGCTCGACGTTATCACCCCAGATGCCGACTGCAACACGCATGATCATGTGCTGGGGTCTCTCGGCAATCTTGCCATCAAGCTTGAGCAGGTATGATCTCTCCAGGGTCTTGAAGCCGAAGTATTGGTAGTTGAAGTCGCGGTCGTAGACAATGGCAGAATCGAGCTCTTCCTTGTGTCTCATGACGGCATCGTATGTCTCCTTGGCAATCATGGGAGACGCCCTGTTGTTTCTGGGGTTGACATAGTGGTAGAGGTCGCTAATGACCGAAGACCATTGCTTCTTTGTCTGCTTGTGGAGGTTGGAGACGGCTATGCGGGCAGCGAGGATGGCATAGTCGGGGTGGGTGACAGTCATGTATGCGGCAGTCTCGGCGGCCTGTTCATGAAATTGTTAACACCCGGTACTCGGGGGGGGAGAGTTGGAGGAGAGCAGTGTTTACCAAGTCATCAAGCTGCACAGTCGTGACACCACCGTAGACACCGGAAATAACCTTTTGGGTGATGGCAACCGGGTCAACGTGGTCCATGTCGAGGCCATAGCATAGCCTGGACACTCTAGCAGTGATCTTGTCGAACTGGACGCGCTCCTGGCGCCCGTCTGCGTCCAATTAGTGTCGTGAGCGACCACTTAACGCGTCTGAGCAGTACATACCGCGCTTCCTCACGAACATGGTGCCTGAGTTCGGCTGTGAGGTTATGGGAGACGGGGGTTATTGGGTCGTCTCGCGGGAGACGTAGGAACACTCGAGAGCAAGAAGACGAAGATGAATTGCTGTAGAAGAGAGAGAGGGTATCAAGAGCACCAAGAATTAGAATTGTAATGGTGCTAGAAGAAGTTGCGTCAAGAGTGTTTGGGTTGTGGGAGGTTGAGAAAGGAATAGAAAGATGCCGGGAGGTGCTGCAGATACTTATGGCAGTGCCAATTCGCGTAGAAACGCGTCCACGGGTCTCAACGCCAAAGTGGACTTTAGCGCGACGAGGTAGGGGGGCAGGGGGGGCACGTCAAGGCATCAATAATAAATTGGCTGGCAAAACGCCGCAAAAGTGGTTTTCTGGCCTTGTAGTCTAGGCATCTCCGCCCGTGCCCCTCGGTTCACGTTCGCATCCCCGAGCCAACACTTGCCTGGAACACAATGGACGACTGTAAAAAGAACGGACAATCTCAATCTCACAGCTGGCAACCACTGGACTTGACTAATGCTAAGGTACGTACGACTGACTGGCTTGGAAATCAAGTCTGACAACAACTCCACTGTGGATGGATTATTGTTTGTCTCTTCCCATTCTTCTCACTTCCCATCTGACGCGGGTTGCCGTTTGCAACGAGAAATGACTTCACACTCGTCCCAGGGAACTGTCCTGCTTGGAATGTACTCTGAACATCTTTAATTGATTTTACTCGCGTCAAACCGATTAGTCGGGTACAGTGCACGCGTTGACCCCTCCCCACCGTTTCAGCGCAGCGATGTGGTGGGTGGTGCACTTTAATGGATTTTTCTGTAGGCACTTTACGCGTGCACCACGTCACTTCATGGTGGGGGTTCCACTCCATCACGATGTCACGTGAGAGAGGCCAAAATCAATTAAACAGCGTCAGTGAGATTGAGGCCAAACGACGTCACGACTATATCAATTGGCATTTTCCTGCCTCGAAGACATGAAGTTTTGAAGCTTGAAGACATCATTGCACATCATCCATGAGAGGATTCTCACCTCTGTTTCTCACCAGAGCACGGGCGCAAAAGTTGATTCAACCATTGCATAGAAGCTTTCTGCCCTCGCCATCACCCATAGTCACAATGGCCGCTCCTCCAGAGGCCTCTAAGCCGGCATACAAGCCCCGGTATATTGATGTGTGTAATTCATGCTCGTCAAAACTACACACGATTCAGCGTAATAACCTTCTAGTCTTGGTAGATTGGCATCAACTTGGCCGATCCCATCTTCAGAGGTTTGCACCATGGCAAGCAACGGCACCCTAACGACCTTGCCGGGGTCATCTCGAGAGCGAAGGAAGTCGGATGCACCAAGCTGATAGTCACGGGGTCCGACTTCACCAGCTCCAGAGATGCCCTGGACATTGCAAAAGACTACCGTGAGTCGAAAAAATGTGCATCTTACGTCAACCTGTCATTGACTTCGCGATAATGCAGCTGGTGTCGTGTATACGACGATCGGAATCCATCCCTGCAGCAGCGCAATCTTCAGCAGCTCGGACGATGCTGCAGAAGGCATTAACACGGATCCGGACCCCGAGAAGCCGATCTCCGAGCACCACGAGCCGGATCCGAAGAAGACGGAGGCCATCATAGCCGAGCTCCGTGACCTCGTCAACGAGTCGACCGCCTCCCACTCCGGCGTCGTCGCCTTTGGAGAGTTCGGGCTCGACTACGACCGCCTGCACTACTGCTCAAAGAAGGTTCAGATCCACGCCTTCGCAGCGCAGCTTGATCTCGTGCTCGAGACTAAGCCTCAGCTGCCCCTTTTCCTACACTCCAGAGCAGCACATGCGGACTTCGTCCGGTTACTCAAGGATAAGTTTGGGGACAAGCTCGAGAAGCTGGAAAAGGGCGGTGTTGTGCACAGCTTCACTGGTTCCATGGAGGAAGCCAAGGAATTGATGGATCTGGGCTTGTACATTGGCATCAATGGGTGCAGTTTCAAGACCGAGGAGAACTGTGAAGTCGTCAAGCAGATCGGCTTGGATAGGATGATGATTGAGACCGATGGCCCTTGGTGCGAAATTAGACCGAGCCATTTCGGCTACAAGTATCTCATTGAGAAGAAGCCGGAGGTCAACGGCACCGCTCAAGATGCTGCCAACGGGACTGCAACCCCAGAAGTCCCAGCCCAGAAGCCTCAGCCCAAGAAGAAGAATCAGAAGAAGGAACCTGAAGTGCCGGAGCGCTTCAAGGTCGTCAAGAAGGAGAAGTGGGAGGAAGGAGCCATGATCAAGGGCCGAAACGAGCCATGCATGATTGAGCGTGTAGCCAAAGCCGTGGCGGGTATCAAGGGAGTCGAGGTTGAGGACATTTGCGAAGCCGCTTGGAGAAATACTGTCAGGGTTTTCGGCGTAGAATAGAGCGTAGAGCACGGCATAGAACAATAGACCAGGAGACTTTCGAAGAAATCAATTGGGGGGGGTATCAAGATCATTGAAAGTACACGCGCAACGCAACGACTGCGGCCTACGATAGCCTCCTTTCAGAGAGGATTTCATATGCCAGAACCTTTATGGCCCCTGATCCGGCCATGCCGTACGGCCCCTACTGTGACACCTTCTTCCCCAGTCAACCATCCCGGCACTCGCTCTCCATCTATGATGCCGTTCTCCACAAGCTGCCGTATGCCCGCGAAGACATGTGATCCGTGCAATATCAGCTTGACGTTGGGGGCCCAAGCTGACGACTGTGTTCGGGTCCGATCTTCAGCACCTGACTCAGCTCGAGAGCTGTTGCTAGGAAAAGGATCCTCCATGACAATGTCTACTCGCTCGATACCCAGTCCATCATCGATTTTGGCCGTATCGCCGAATCTGGCCTGGGCACATAGACGAGCTCTCTTGTAAAACTTTTCGTCTGTCTCAGCGGCGCCAGCTTTCCGTTTGGAGTCCCTCTTTGCCGCCGAAGCCGAGGTGTCATCCGCTGAATCTTCCGACAGAGGCGGTGTTGGTAAGATGGTGTCAAGCGGTGAATCATTCTTCTTCTTGTCGGCATAAATGTCCCACCCGCCACCTGCCGCGTTCGTTCGGCCAACGCCTCTGGATTGCAACAGCGCATCGAGGTTCTTGGTCGTAATGTTTGTTGGTTTCAGCGTGTACCGTTCGCGCGGTCGAGAAAGCGCCTTCGGTATGCCTTCGACAACCAGGCTGCGGAAGCTTTTAGATTCGCTTGCTCCCAAAGACCCAACTGTCTGAGCTTTGGACAAATAGACGAACGGCGAGGCATCTGGAAAGGCGATGTATAATGTGCGTGAGCTATCGAGATCTGAGTCGGATTGCGTGAGACCAGTTCCGAGTTGAGTCATGCTCGTGCTGTAAGGAGACTCGATCATGAAGATGCGCAAGACGGAGAGGGTAAGCCCCTCGGGTCGATGAAAATGGAAGTGAGCTTTGACGTCGGGCAATACGTGGGACTGAAGGTTTTGGATGAACGTGGATGGGTGAAACCGGGGAAGGGTCAAAGACGCAGTGTCGACTTCTGGGGCCTGCTCTTCATCATCCACGTATGAAGCCTCTTTAAGAGGCATGATACGGTAGGCATTCCATTTCTGCGAGGTGGGGTGGTCTTGAAGGTATTGGGCATCTGCCAGCGCCATTTGGTATAGGGTTAGGCCATGACTCCAATCGCCGTCGGTGATGCGGTCAATGACCTCTCGTTTGGACCCTTTCCTGAACTGTAGATCCGCATAGGTGGTCCGTAGCTCTTCAACCGATGATGCCGGGGGGTAGAGGCCGTCACCATTATCCTCTTCGTCTAGTATAGGCGCGCATAGTGGTACATTCTCATCACTGAGCCATTCGAGGACCAGAGACAGTAAGGATGAACGCGATAAGCGGCCAAGAGCTTTTTGAACGGAAGAGTTGTTGGGCGGTAGTCGTACTGTCGACGACAAGCGTCCTGTAGTTGGGATTGAGAAGCGTGCCATGGCCGTCAAAACATTGCGCATAGGTGTAGAAAAATCTGGCAGTGTTTTGATGTGTCGCGAGTGCACTGCACTGCACTTTCCCCGTACCTTCGCGAGTGGGGGGGACGAGATATCGCGATGCTTGAGCCTCGGAGATGTCGTCAATCACCCCGGCAGCTGAGGCTGAAGTATCTTAAGCGGAGATGGGCACTATTGTTGGTCGTTGAATCGTTGTAGAGCAAAGACGCGTCGCGTATCCGTACCGCCAAAAGCTCACATGCAGTTATGGTGCACGGAGCACATGTTGCATACGGGGTCGGAGGGGCTTACCGCGAACAGGGGGACACGGGCCACAACGGAGGGGCACGGAGCAGTGGCTCTGTGGGCGGCAGACGTTAAGGTTGGACCAGGGGGAGGAAGGCAGTCCGCAGGGACGCTGACAGGATCTGAATGCTTAGGTAGGCAAGGCGAGACGGGTACGGGTTATGTGTGCCCGATCCGACCATGCGTGCCGGCGGGGCCTAAGGTAGAGAAGAGGCCGGCGGCCAAGGCACCCGTGGTACCCAGCCCGGAGCCTGCAAATGACGGGAGCAAGTTGCTGACAGTGGAGGCATACGGATTACGGAGTAGGGGATGTTGACGACGACATGGATGGCGGGGTTCACGATGTTCTGGGACCGAGATGTGCCTTACCTAAGGTACCTTGTGTAAGGTAAGGTATCGCACTTGAGATGGTTGGCATCAAACGTGCAAGCCCAGGGCGTGGGCAGCAAGAAAGACATGGGTAAACGGGCAGATTAGCAGCCAGCCAGCGGGGCCGTGGTCGCTCCCTGGCAGACGGCGGTCCTGGTCTGCGCGGTAAAGTCCCTGAAGCCTGAAGGAGAAAGGAATAGGTGCAGGATGCAGCGGCTGAGAGGCACGGTCGGGCCTACTTACCGAACATGGCCGGTGGCGCTTCCGAGGGTCGGAGGGGTTGGCAGTTGCTTAGAAATTCAGATTTAAGGGTCCTTTCACAAGGACGCTCCCACTGAAGGAGTGTAACAAGCCGTGGCACGATGCCATGCCCAGACGGCGCCAGAGGAAACACGGCAAGGTTGACACCAGAACCCGCGACCATGCCCAAACGAGACCAGCCGAGTCATGATGGACCCGGGTTCTCATCGTGAGCATCGAACAACGTGGTTGGGGGAAGTCGGGATTTGGGCAATTGGGACTGCTGCTGGTTATGTTGTGACTGTAGCGCGGGTATTGCATTTACCGCCGTTAATTAGTACCGAAGCATTAATAATCTTCCACGAGCGATGCAAGCCACAGCGTAAGTGGACTCATTTGTGCGCACAAAACTTAGAATCTGTGTAATAACGTTTCGTCAGTGGAATGTTTCTGGAACTCAATCCAAGAGAGGCCACATTGATTGACAGCGTCAGGATTTTTCTTCTTACTCCCAGAGATTGAACAGTAGGTACTGCGTACACGGCACAGCGACATGGAATACAAGACGAAAAATAGATGTCGATCAACTAAAAATGCGACTTGAAGACGTCAATTGCCAACAGCCCGAAAACGAGGGGCGTCGGAACACTGTCAGGCCAGAGATGCGCAATTGCCGCGGGGCTCTCAAAAGATTGGCCAAGCGATGATTCGTTCGCCAGCCATGGGTGAGTGATGACGGGTGGATGTGTGCATCAACAACAGTGGAGTGTGGACTGCCCAGTGGAGAGGGGCTCAAGATCGAGTGCTCATGCTTCCCGGTCATGGTTCCGGGAGTTGGAAAGGGCGTGCTCGGAAAGAAGGCAGGTTATGAGGATACGGAAATTCGGAATGTCCTATTGCTGCGACTTGGCTGTAATGACATTCCCGGTTCAATGTAGAAGCTTAGCACATGTTGACTGGATATCTCATAGATGATTGGAGGGTGGGACAGCAGATGGGGCACGTCCCCGTTCATCGGCGGGTGGGGGGCTTCACTTTGCCCTTGCGGTACCGGGAACCTTCGGACCAAGGCAAAAATAGTGAGGCGCCGGCGGTATTGTGTACGTGGGAATGGGTGAGGTGCTAATGATTCCGGTGTGATGTTTACCTCTTGCGTGCGAGACTCAGTGGAAGTGGTGGGAGAGGACGTGGGCGTAGGTATGTAATTAAGCGGCGTCGTGTGTGGGTGGAGGTTCCAGGCCTGGATGGCTAGCATATGCCTGGCCACTCACTTGAGTCTCAGTCCCAAGGAGTCAAGTCTCCCGTCGATGGAACTATCTCCAAGAGGAAGACAGGCGACCAGCCTGCAGCGGTATGTATGTACATAGGTACGCAGCAACGCAGATGCGTGGGGTGCGGCGTGCCCTCTTGCAGGGAAATGAACAAGGCCGTCGGCCAATGGTCGGAGCCAACCAGCACCGCGGAGCACCCTTGGGGCATTGGGGCCCTTGGGGGGGGCCCTCCCTCGGGGGTGCTGAAAGTCGCGCTGTCGGGTAAAGAAGTTGACTAATACTATCCACTCGGCCTGTGTCCGCAACCTGCCTCTCCGAACAAAGGCTTCATTCTCGCCCAATTTGACTCCTCTTCCCCCATCCCATCCACTCCTCTCCCTGAACCACCCAGCAGTCCAGCCAGAGACCGAGACGAACCTCGCACTCGACAACCTAGACAGACAGACAGCCGTTCAGGAGAACATCCGACCGACACCTTCGACCTCGACCGACCATCGCCAGGTCTCGTCTTACATCTACCCGATTCGACGCCAAATTTTGCCCCTCCATCGTCGCCGACTTCACTGCCGAGCAAAAGTTGGAATCGATCCCGGTCCACGAACCGCGCGCATTTAATTCAACTACGTTGGGGGCTTTACAACCAACGCGGCCGCAACACCAACCCACTTAACGCCATCGCCGCCGTCCTCGACTCGATCTCAGGGACCCAGTCTTTTACAACCACAAAACAAATCGACACCCTCGTCTCGGAGTCGATTTCAAGGAGCCCTTTTGCTCTTCTGCCTCTCTGTTCTTTGGTTCCAGCACCGCCGGATTCCTACCCGAGAGCCTTCACCGGCCGAGCGACATGTCGCCTTACACAAGCACTGGAGGCGGGCGCGCGCCCAATGTGTCTCGCTACCTGCGTGACTTGAACACCGTCAAGGAGCCCGGTTCCGCCGAGGAGAACTTCACCTTCGAGGACGATCTCGCCATGTTCACAAACACCCAATTTTTCGACTTCGAGACTGGCCAGCACACCGACTACCAGGCACCGCCCAAGAAGGCCGAGACCGCTACCGTTGCTGAGCCCCAGGCTCCATCCAGCGCCGTCACCGAAGAATTGACCTCTCCCATTGGCGACTTTGGCAACGTCGACTTTTCTCTGCCAGGTAAGAAGATGCTTTCTTCTTTTTTACTTGGAATTTGATGTACCTCATCCTTTTTGTTCATATTGGGGTGTATGGGCTTGTGTGGGATTTGGCATGGATTTTTGGTTGTCCATCAAAAGTTCTGACCCAGTCACATCACATCGTCATTCTCACTCCTCATCACCATGCTCATCACTCACACCTTACTTTTTCCCTTCAACCATCTGCCACGTTACAGACAGCTATGGGCACAATCACTTTGGCATCGGGCGAATGGGAAACGAATGACGATTCACATCGTTCACACATGAGTCAAGTGGCTCCTCTGAACTTTAACCTCCCAGTTCTCATCAGCGATCAGCTCAACCTTCTCTCAGGGTCGCAGCCAAGCGCATGCGACCGCCTTATCACCAGCCTTTCGAACCTGTCCTTTCTTACCCCACCCTGTTCATGCGCAGTCCATGTTTCATTCGGATGTCTTGATTGGGAGAAGCTGCCTGCTCTTATGCAGGTTGCCGGCGTGCGGTGTTGAGGGAGAGCCGCGACTCCAGATTGGAGCTTACAAATTGCCGGGGGATGGTGCAATATCCCGTGACTTTTCGTCATTCATCCTAGCAGGGATGCTTCGACCATCTGGGCAGCCGCCATCCGACACCGATTAAGCAAGTGCTATGGTCGATGGTCTTGTATCTCCAACATTTAGACTCGTCGATGCGGTTGTTCTTTCGATCAAGCGCTATCCGCCCCGTCTTTCCCCTCATTCCACCGTCTCGACGACGCCACGATGCCAGGAACTGATAACTCCTGTCTTGAATCATCCATCTGACCATGAACAATGACAGGCGAATTCAACTTTCACGATTTCACCAACCCCTACCCTGCCTCGGGCGTCCCGCCCTTCGCCGAAGGCCTGGGTAACCTTCAACCTCTCCAGCCTAACCCGCAACCCACCTACGCACCGCCTCCTGTATCTCAGCAGCACAACCACCACTATGCTGCTCCCACGCCTTCTGCCGCCGAGACCAGAACTCCTGAGTCTTTGAACGGAGTCAGCAGGCCCGGCCACAGCTTCGAGGAGCAGTCTCGCGTTGCCGCAGAGGAGGACAAGCGCAGGAGAAACACCGCTGCCAGCGCCAGGTTCCGCATCAAGAAGAAGCAGCGTGAGCAGGCTCTCGAGAAGAGCGCCAAGGAGATGTCGGACAAGGTCTCAGCTTTGGAGCAGCGCATCAACCTTCTCGAAACCGAGAACCGCTGGCTCAAGAACCTCGTCATGGAGAAGAACGAGGGCAGCGAGGACATTGCTTCTATGCTCAAGGAATTCCAGAACAAGCAAACCAAGACGACCGCGACATCTTCGGACTCTCTCAAGGCTGAGGAGGCAAAGTAGAAATGGGGAAACTTTGTCAATACTCGGAGGAGGCACTATACTCTCTCCGACTGACGCCTGTATGCAATGCGTTTCATGTTCAAGACATTGGGTTTTATTCTGGCACCAAATGGAGTTTGATACCGTGGAGGGACGAAGAGACATGCTGTGGGATGGGAGTCGTGATAGGGGGGTTTAGAGGGGAGACGAACGGGCGGTACTATTGAGCGGCTTGTTTTTACTGATTGGCAACATGTGATGAGATTTTTACATGTATGTATACCTGCACGAACTCATGATCTGGGACGTGATAGAGTATATCACAGCAATGAATTATATGGATGGGTTTATCGACCCTAAGGCTATTGACTGAAGTCAACTCTAAGCTATTCTTTGTTCAACCAAACCTCCTAAAGCCCTTGTTCCCTCCCCCAGCGTGTGTGCTCAGGATAGAGTCAGGTTAGTAGGTCTCAACATCCCGCAACTCGAAGGCGTGCTTCCGCGGTCCCCATCAGGTAGAGTTCAACCACCCCAAGCCAGCACAGGCATCCCCTGGCCTCACCTACTCTTGTGCCCATGGACGGATCGGGAGAGAAAGAGCCGCTGCTCGGCTCTACGTTCGTGTTCACTGGTGACCCCCGCGCCTCTCCACTTCACCGCCGACATGCCCCATTGACAAGAAAACAGCAAGAACTGATGGCCAAGCCGCCACAAACTCGCGGGTCCTTGTCCAGGGCCCAGAGTCAGTCTTGGGGAGGTACGTAGCGCCATGTCTCGCCCATGGGAGGTTTGGTAGGTAGGCTGGAACGGGGGACCCAAACATTCGTGGTTTGTTACAGGTACGGGGACCCCATCAGTCCCATGGATCGGACTCTAGACTCCAGTCTCCAGAGCAGGATGAAAAACTCGGAATCCGCTAATCCATAACGACATGCCCTCACCGGAATGTGGTGGGCTGGGCTGAGAGAGAGTAAGACGGATTATACGGCGTGGGATAGGACAGGACGAGGGCTGACGATGGCGAAACGGAAAATCCAGTTTGTCTAGGCCCAAGGGGCGGGCGCGGCGTGGGCGACCTGGCTCAGAACCAGGTCGGAGGACGAGGACGGCACGGTAGAACAAGACGGGATGCAGACTTTTTTGGTTGAATGGAGACGATTCATTTCTTTGGTGCTAGTAACTGTGCAGTAGTTTTACGCAACCACTCGGCCTTACCATCCGAACCCTCGTCGATACTCTAACGGAGTCAAGGGGGGGAGTCGGGGGAGACATGGGGATCCTCTTGCTATTGGGAACTACCATAGCACATCCACTTAATCATACAATATCTTTGACAAACTCTTTCCAGGCTCTTCTCACGAGTCTCTCCGAATGAGATGAGTCTCACCGAGAGGTACTTCGCGACAGTCGTGGGTGAAGAAGAGACAGGAAGAAAGGGGGGAGTGTCTCTAAGGTGAGTTTTTTTTTCTGTCTCTCTTCTCAATCCTCACTTTCCAGCCTCGGCCCCGTTCTTCTCCTTCTCCCCCCTGAGCGTAGCAAGTCGAAGCTGGTTCCTCTTACCCAAGATCCTCACCGTGTTGCGCCTCTCAATTTCCGTCATCTCGCCCCAGTTGCTGATTCGCGACATGGTGCCGTCCTGGTTGACGACCAGGGGGCCGAGGTGGTCCAGCTTGGTCGAGGCGTCGCCGCCGCTCATGTCGAGCGTGATGGTGTTGCTTCCGCTGCTGCTGCTGCTGCTGCTGACGCCCTTGTTGTTGTCTCCTCCTCCCACTCCTCCTCCCGCGGAGTTCCCGCCAGCAGTAAAAGACGTCTCGTAGCCCTCGGGCAGCGGCGGCAAAGCCAGGGGTCCATCCCGCCGCTGAGCACCAGCGAGGCCCTGATCGTCGCCCTGGGAGTGAGGCTGGCGCTGGCTAGAGTCGGCGCCACTGGTGTTGGGACTGGCCTCCGCGGGGGCGTTTGATGTCGTTTTTTTAGGGGCCGGTGACGTGCTTTCCGTGGGGTGGTGCTCTCGGTGGCTACCGGTACCACCGCCGCCGTTCAGGTTCCTCTCTTCTTCACCCTCACCTTTTCCTGCAGCCGACCACATTGTCGTAGACTGAGGGCCCGATGATGTGCTCATCCTGCTTTTGAACGTCAACCTCCTCGTCGACGCTGTCGCGGTGGCGATGGCGGCGGCGGTCAGCGCGGGTGATGGTCCGAATGATTGGCGGGTTGAGAGTCGGAGAGGCGCGTATAGACGTGGGATGTAGCCGAACGGTGGTCTCATTTGGGTAATGTTTTGCGTAAATGGTTTCGTTTCTGGTTTGGTAATTGCAGCGAGGGTTTGAGCCTTTGAAAACCGAGGTTGGGGGGCGTTCGAAATTCGGGAGGGTTTGTTGGTGAGTTGTGGTGAGTTTATTGACGATATTCAAAGTGAGAGTGAAGTGGGTCCCCGCTTGGCGTTGGAGTTGCCAAAAGTATCTGCTAGTAATTTCCAGACCCGGTCGACTTTCTTCCTCCTCTTTTGTCCTGTTTAATCATTCAGACAGTCCAAACCACCAAAATTGCATTGTTAGATCGTCTGCCTCTCTACGTATTCTTTTTTCTATCGCTAGTACCGTACTATCGCGTATCAGCTCGCATTTCTCTAATGTTTTTTGCTTGAAACACGGTGGCAAGAAATGTGAGTGAGGATATATCAGCCGCGTGTTATTCTGTCATACACTTGCGGGCGTACGGGCCTACACATCGTAACTTGGTCATATCCCCCCACGCACACAGACAAATATTGCAATTTGGCTACGTCTCATTGACAGGAAACATTTTGTCTATTTCAATTACTTTATTTTTCACTGAAGGGGAAGGTGGTACATGAACCTCTTCCGATGGCGTGAGCCATACCACCTCCGTCTAGGGCTTATTGCCCGCCTCTAACAAAGACCTAATTCAGAAAGCCTTCCGTTGGGTATCAGATATTGGCTTGAGCCGTCAACTGCCCTCGTGAGAGGGCCTGGAAACTGATTCTATCCTCCCAAACGCCATTGATGCCCGAAATCACTAACAAAGGAGAGAAAGGCATGCAGCTGGCCATTCTTAGCGACGGCTTTCGCCACTTGTACGACGACGGTCGAGACGTCTGACCACCGCGCCGAGAACGACCTTGAGGATATTGTCTGCCGTGAGCACGCCGCGGGTACCGTTCTCCCAGGTGACAGTGTCGACCATGTCTCGAAGATCGCCATCGCATCTGCCGACGAGGTCGTCGTCGAGCTCTCGGAGCGCCTCGCGGGCACCAGGCTCGTTGCCAACCTGGAAGAATTGCACACCGACCTGATGCATGGGAGCGTCGAGCTTGTCGAGCTTCTTGGCTGCATAGAGGATGGTGGCCTCGACGTCATCGGAGGGGGCGCCGTCAGTGATGACAATGAGGTTGATGGGCTTGACGCTCTCAATGTCGTTCTTCTTGGTCTCGAGGAGCTGAAGATAAGGCTTGAGGATGGCAAGGAGGCGCTGGCCCGTAGGCGTGCAGCCGCGAGGACGAACTGACGTGAAGATGCCCTCGACCGTATCGGCACGACGAATGCCGTAGTAGCCACCCGCGGCTTTACCCTCACGAGGATTTCCACCTGCTTGGGTCTTGTGGTTGAGGAAGTAGAGGTCAACTCCGTCCTCGTCATGCGATGTACAGATCGGGGCGATGTTGCGGATTACACCCTGGACCTCAGGCCATGAGCGGCCGGACATGGACCCCGAATCGTCAATAACGAAGATGGTGTCGAATGAGGAAAGGAATGCGTAGGGGTCCTCTGGGGTCGAAACGCTCATGCCAGTGCTTGACATGATGGAACCGGCGTTGGATGGGGCTGGCGAGGGGCTTCTAACAGGTCCGCCATTGCTTCCCAGGTAGCCATTCTCCGATGGAGAGGGTGGTGTTACCGAGTAAGCTGGAGGGGCATGGTCGGGAGCTGAAGGCTTATTAGCGCTTTTGGTCGGAGACGGAGGAGTAACGATGACGTCGGGTAAAGACTCACGATGGGCGGGTTTGACTGCAGGGCTTGAAAAGGGGTTGTTGCTGCCGGGTGTCGTCGTGTTCGACTGGGATGCCTGCTTGGACTTGCGAGAAGATGATGTTTTGCGGCCAAGCTTCTGCTTGAAAGCCCCGAAGATAGACATGCTGATCTCGGGTTTCTCGCTGGCGGAGTAAGGGTTTGAGGAGGGGAAAGAATCGCCGAGGTAAGGCATTGTGAAGGAGGACTGCTGCCGCAGTGAAGTTGATATAAATGTCAAAGTGGGGCAGGAGCCGTCGGGGAAGGCGATGTGGCTGTTCTTTCTCGAAGGAAGGTTTGCGGTAAAACAGAAAGCTCCAAAAGTTTGACTTGATGGGATATTCTATTCAATCAATACGATGGGCCACAAAGGTGTAATGTCAAGTTGTCAGGTGAGTTGATACTGCTCAAGTCTTTGTTGTCGTTGTTGCTGTCAATGGTATGGATTTCAAGGGTATGCTGAGTTACTTCGGACCAGTCATCTTATATTGGTTCTAGTCATCGCCTCTTATCAAAGCTCTCAGAGCTTTGACAAAGTAATCTGCCTGGTCATTCCGCCTGAGTCTGAAGTTGAATTATCGCTTTGACTAGTCTGTCTTTGAGAGATTATGATCTTTGAGCCTCCTTGGGGGCATTGCTCGTGACTGCAGAGGGGCTTATTGGGTGAAGTCACAAACGCAGTCTGATTGGCCAGGAGGCTCGCCCCAGCCACATAGGCTTTTTTGCACCGCCATGCTCCGCCTTCTTGTCAGTGCTCAGGCTTGAAGAAAGTGCGCCTGATAGCCAACACGTGGTTTGCCCCTTTGGAAATATGGAGGAACTGAGTCCCTGGGTGCCTCGGATCTGAATAATGCCAAACATGAAGCGTCATAATTTGTCCACCCGGGTTTCTGGGATCGCATCGTAGCTTGGCGGGGAAAGAGAAGACAACGAACCACGTGACTCTGCTGACTGTTTTCGGCCGGCCTACATCTTCGGCCGTCTTCCGTCTCTCCCAGGGGCCGCGACGAACGGGGGTCAAGGTGACGCTAAGGTCTCGGTACACGGGACCCAGCAAACTATGTACTCGCCGTCGCCGGTTTCGTGAGTCTCTGCCACGGCCGTTCTTGATTCTCGAGGTTATGGATGCTGGGGTTATGCTCTCTCCCAGATGCGTCATGGCTGAATGTCCATGCATCTATATGAGGTGGCTCAATTTATTGGTCATAGGTAACCAAATGATTCTGGGAATTGACTTCTTCAGATATTTCCATCGCTCTCTGGCCTAGAAATACTGTCAAATTCAACGATCGGGTGCGCCGGCCCACGACGACAACACAAGCGCCCTGAATGTCCCGGCAAGTCGCGTTCGGGACCCCGCCCTAGGTTGCCAGGCTTATCTTCCATGGTTGGGCCGGGCGTTCAGCAACGCAGAGATGCTGTGCAACATCCACTTTGTGTGCGTTGATGACTTGATACTCACGATAAATCGAGATATCCTGCCCCTTGCTAGACTCTGGAGAAGGTCTGGCGAGGGTCGATAATCCCCCAGAAGTTAGGCCCTCGCGGCCCTCAATCCGGGACGGGAGACGGCTACCTGCAGTGATTGGGCACGAATCGCATTCACAACTGGGTATGGGGCAAGCCGTGATGCGGAGATCCGCTTTGGAGCAGGACACTGACTCTAGACACCGCTTTTTTTACGTACTGTCGTAGTACCAACCCGAATCGTTGACGTTGGCGAGGGATAACGAGGGGCAGAGGAGGGGCAGCTTCCGGGCACAGAAACGCGCTGGCGTTGCGTTTCTCGATAATAAGTGCCCTCGCGAAACATAGTACTATTGTCTGAACTGCGTTCACTCCCGTCACCGAACCTGTCCCCAATGCCAGATCGACGATCTAGGACTCGTTTGGTTCTGGACTGAAGACGGCACAAGCGGCACGGATTCGGCGCGGACTAAGGTAGACTGAGACTGGCTCTGGCTGTAGACCCAAACAATGTTTGCTGCTGTTTTCCGTTCAGGACCTGTTTTTGGCCCCCGTCGCCTTGCGAGACTCGGTGACCATCCGCCCAACTTCGTCAAGTGACAGTCCCACGTTCATCTTCAAGAAGGAAGAAATTGGTTTCCTGGCCTATCAGCGTCGCTATCGCATTCTGACATCCCCACATCTGGAAGAGCCTGCATAGGAGCTGCATTCTTGACCTGCAGGGATTCCCAAGCCAACGTCAGGACCCAAGTGCCGGTGAAGAGAAGCCTTCCACAGCTCATAGCTTCCCCGTATAAGACGTTTTTCGTGCCCCTCGCTGCCTCACCTTGAAAAGGTGAACAGCCCTTTTTTCCCCCTTTTGTTTTTAGCTTCACCCTTCCCGCACCTGCACTCTTCCCTCTCACCTTCCCCAGATTTTGCCCCAGCCAGGTGATATCGGAGAAACCTCTTTCACCGACCATAAAACTCTTTCCCTCCTTTCAATCGCAGCTCCCAGTACGCAGCTGCTGATATTTCCCATCGTCACTTCCACAACAGAGCCCACAAACATTCGTCAGCTGCGTGCAACAAGGCAATATGTTCAGCAATCGCAAATTCTCCATCAACCGGCACACCGGTGTGCCCAAGCCAAGACGCTTCAGTGTTGGCGAGGTTGGAGGCAATGGTAAGAACGAAAACCTCCCTTTCCTCATTTCTCTACAAATTCCACTCAGTCATCCCAACAATACTTATCTGCTCGACTTGTCGTGGCTTCAACCAAGTTATACAGATACGCACAAAGGATGGGAGAAAAGCTTGTTATCGAGCTTTGGTGTTGAGTGCGGGGTAGGAGCTGAGCAGAGTTGCCCCTCGTTCTCCACACAGCTCCAACTCAAGCTCGATGTCATTCTTGGCTTTCCGATCGGCGTCATTGGCCATGATAACTTCACCTCGAGAAAAAACTAATGCTGACATGTTCCATCAGAGGTCCAGTCAAAGACTCATAGACAGTTCCGTAACGCTCACGAAGGCCACCAGCCCCACGCCGGTCTCGATGCCAGCCGTGCCTCCACCGGTGTCGTTTGGTGTACTGAGCGTGCCTCCGAGTACGGTTTTCTCGAGGAGCCCGATGCTTGGGCCAACTTAGGCCAGGGTGCTCCCGAAGTTGAGGATGACATTGCTGGCTGCTTTCCCCGTCCCACTACCATCGATATCTCCATGGCCGGTCGCGAGTATGGCCCTACTGCCGGTATCAGAGAACTCCGCGAGGCTGTTGCCAACCTCTACAACGTCATGCACCGCGAGGGCAAGGACAGCAAGTACACTTGGGAGAACGTCGCAATCGTCCCTGGTGGTCGCGCCGGTCTGATTCGTATCGCTGCCGTTCTCGGAAACTCTTACCTCTCTTTCTTCTTGCCCGATTACACTGCGTACAACGAGATGCTGTCTCTCTTCAAGAACGTATGTCTCTATCTCTGGGTTTGAAGCATGAAAGAATGTACAGCATCTGACACTAGGTATCTAGTTCTCCGCCATCCCTGTCCCTCTCGCCGAGGAGGACGGCTACCACATCCACCCCGACCGCATCGCTGAGGAGATCTCCCGTGGTTCCTCTGTCATTCTGACCTCGAACCCCCGCAACCCCACCGGTCGTGTCGTTGCAAACCCCGAGTTGGCCGAGATCCAGGATATCTGCCGTGGCCGCGCCACCTTTGTCAGCGACGAGTTCTACTCCGGCTACAATTATACGAGCAACTGTGACGGCAGTACCATCTCTGCTGCTGAGAACGTCGAGGACGTCGATGAGGACGATGTCCTCATCATCGACGGCTTGACCAAGCGCTTCAGACTGCCCGGCTGGCGTGTTGCGTGGATCCTTGGTCCCAAGGGTATGTGATTGATATCTATAAAGCTAATGAACCACCTGCTAACATGGCTTGCAGAATACATCAAGGCGTGAGTTTTTCCCCACATGTGTACCTGATGGTTGCCATGAGATTGGAACGGGGGACTGAGACACTGACACAACTTTAGCATTGGCTCTTGCGGTAGCTACCTCGACGGTGGTGCCAACCACCCCTTCCAGGAGGCGGCGATCCCCATGCTTGACCCTACTCTCGTCAAGACGGAGATGATCTCCCTGCAGAAGCACTTCCGCGTAAGTCGACTGAGCGAGCGGCTTCGAGTTTGACATTTTTTAACAAAGTGAATAGGACAAGCGTGACTACGTCGTTCGCAGACTCCGCGAAATGGGATTCATCATTAAATACGTCCCCGACTCCACTTTCTACCTGTAAGTTGCTGTCTTTGAAAGAGACAGTCTCAAGCGCCAAGACTGACATCCACCAGCTGGCTCAACCTTGAGGGTCTCCCTGAGGCCATTGCCGACGGTCTCAACTTCTTCCAGGCCTGTCTTGAGGAGAAGGTCATCGTCGTGCCCGGTATCTTCTTCGACCTGAACCCCTCCAGACGCCGTGATCTCTTCGACAGCCCTTGCCACCACTTCGTCCGTTTCTCCTACGGCCCCAAGATGGAGACCCTGAAGAAGGGATGCGACGGTATCGAGCGTGTCGTCAATAAGTTCCGCAAGTCGTCCGACTAGACGTTATAGAGTGGTTCCTAGGATAGAAGATTGGATGGAGTTGGAAACGGACGACTCACGACAGATGAAGACTAAATACCCTAGTCTTCATTGCTTGAATGTATACACGAAGACGGCACAGTTGATGCCGAACAGACCAATACGCCAGTAGAGCGTGTTACAATGAATGAATTACCGCAACATACCAAGATTTGTCTCAGATTGCTAGTGATTTGATAGCTGGGATGGAAAACCAAATTTCCATGTCGCTTACTTTGAAATGCAGCATTGTAGTGCGATAAGCCCACTATGGCAGCGATAGCCACAATGTTGAAGCTCTGCATAGTTCACTTACATAGAGGCCTTATTCACTTTTACTTTGTGACCATCATTTCGGGAACCAAGGTTTTTTACAAGACTTTTACGTTTTTTTTTTTGGTACTTTTCTATCGCCAATTTTCTCTGAGCCAGATCCAGTCCCTCGGCCGCGACACATCTTTCCTCGAAATTTAGCTAGAAAACTTCAGTGACCAGTGTAGCTAGCCAAGGGCATCTCCCCTGGAAACAAAAAGGAAAGAAAGAAAAAAAAGCAAATGATTTTTTTGTGATTTTGTTGTTTTTTGTCGCAACTGCCAATCTCGAACCCAATTTCTGCGTATCCATCCCCAATCTTCCGAGATGTTCCAAAGGTCTCTCGCAGGTTGGTTCCAATGGAGCGGAAGAAATCGAGGACGCATGTCCAAATACTCCAACATGTTGAGAGAGAGAAGTCCAAGCTGTGAATTCCCAAAGATCATTAAGGCTTTTTGTCGTCTTCTTTGCTCTCATAGACCGCGTCCAGTGCTGTACTGGTGACGGTGGCACTGTTCTCTGCGTGTTGAGAAACTTGCCTGTCGGTGGCACTGCTCTCTCGGTGTCGGCGAGAGCCTTGCTGATAAGAATGATGGTGACGATGGTGGCTCTGAAAGAAAGCTCTCGATGACAACGTTTGCGGAGTTGAGATTGCCGCTCTTTTTTTTTCCTTTTTTGTTTTCTTTCGGTTGAGAATGAAGAGCCCTATGAAGAGATCGAGAGAAAGCAAAATCGCAAACGTGTCGTGAGTCGCAAGTCGTACATCGGCTTGCTCGTTGTATAGAGTAAGCTTCATTGATGAAGTAAGAACGCAGAGTGAAATGCAGCGAAGTAGGTCTGGGACAAGGCCACCGACTACTTCATGCAGATGACGTGAGCGCTGGTAATAGACGCAACCGAGATGGAAGTGCCCGTATCGTTGCGGACGGTGATGACGGGAGTAACCACCAGCTGCACGCGCCAGTGCTCAGCCTGTAGAAGCTGCGGACCAATGTTGGGCGCGATGCCAACCATGGTTCCGGTGTTGAAACGCGCTCCCGCATCCGGGAAGCGGAACTCGAAAGTCCATCGCGAGGTGAACATCTTCGCCGAGATGGACCATGCCTTCTCGCACATCTGGCGAAGCGCCTCGTCAGCCCTCTCGAGGTCGGGACCGCCTTCAGACTCGGGCAGCAAGAGTGGCGAGAGCATCTCGCGAAGCTCAGCCTGGAAGTACTCGATCCGGTGGTTGCGGTAGGCGTCGTAGCGCTCATGGTTGATGCAAGAGTTGACCAGGGATGCAACTCGATCAATACACAGCTGAAGAGCACCACCTTGACCCGCTGTTTAAGTTAGTCATATTCTTGCATGGAGAGAAGTGTGAGATACGACTTACCAGGGAGATTGTTCATCTCGTGGCGAATCTCACGCAGCTGGCGATCAGTATCAACAGAGAAACCCTCCCAGGCCTCGAAAGTGAAGATCCGATTAACAAGAAGATCAATCATGGTACGAGAGATGAGACAAGCGCGGCTCATGGGGTCGTTCATGTGCTGTCGAATGTAAGACCACGCCTGCTGCTCGCTGAAGGGAGCATAGAGCTTCATCATGTAGCGAAGGATGGCAATATCGCTGGAGCGCGACAGAATGCTAAGGTCAACGTTCGAGGCAAACTGGAGCACCTAGCCCCGCGCGAGACCCCAAACGCCCTCAAGGGCACGAGCATAGCGCTCATTGTCGCCGCCTTCATCCTCACTGAAGCCGTTGCAGGGAGCCAAGGGACTGGTGACTGCATGGCTGGGGCCGTTGCCACCCTGGCCAAAGGGACCAGGACTGAAAGCTCCTTGCTGACGGATGCCAGCCGTATGGTGGCTGTTGCCGGACGAGTTGGGACCGTGGCTACGAGTGCGCTGTGGAACCATCGAGTAGTCGTTGCTGTAGCCCATGTGACTCGAGCCCATACCGTACTGGGAACCATGGGAGACTTGACGTCCTGAAGGAACCAGAGGAGACGGGCGAGGAAAGCCACCACCGGGTCCTTCAAAGTTGCCGTAATGACCAGCGGAGCGAGGAGTCGGGCTGCGGAAAGGAGTGCTGCCTCCGTTGAAGTTGTGGCGAGGACCAGCATTGGATCCTGAGCCGTAGCTCATGTTGTAGGACGCATCATTGTGGAAGCCACTGTTGTCTGCGTTGCCGTACATGCCCGGGTGGAACTCAGGAGCATTGGGACGGAACGAGCCGCGGTGACCCATGGCAGTGCCAGGGCGAGACGGCATGTTGAACTGGCCTCGATGGGTACTGGGTCCCGCAAAGCCATTGGGCTGTTGATATCCGCCGTTGAAACCGTTCTGAATGTCTCGAGTTTGCGAGTAAGAACCGGTATATTGAGTAGGGGCGCCGCTAGACGCGCGCGTCCAACCCGCAGAAGACACGGTGCGGTTGTCACCAGACCGACGGCCAGGGCCATACATGCCCGGGAAAGAAGTGGAAGGGCCATTATGAGCAGGTGGAAAGCCCGGCATGTTCTGCTGGTGGTAGAACGGCTGCAGAGCATTGTCCAAGGTGGGGACCATCTCATGTGATTCCGAATCCGGGGCACGACGTGCATCCTGAGACTGCTGAAGCCGCTTAGCCGACTGAGGGTGGTTCTCCTTCTCAAGCGCGGCGATGCTCTCGGTACTGAGAATAGCAATGGCCTTGGAAGAGTTCTCACGCTCTCCATGCATCCAGCGGGAGCTAGGGCGGTCCATGAAGTCCTTAAGAGTCTGTTGTGGTGTCATTAGCAATTGCCCAGAAACGAGAATCGTGGAAGCGAACCTGAAGCAACTCGGCAACGATCTGGTTTCTGTCTTCATTCTCTTCATCGTTGCGAGGATCGAGGCGGGCCAAGAACTCAAGAACCGTGTTCTTGTGGTTCTCCTGCTCCACGTGGTAGCGCGCGAGACGATCTTCTAACTCCTCGTACTTGCGATGAATCTCAGCAACATCGCGCTTGAGCTGCTCACGCTCCTCGGAAATGATGCTAGCCTCCAGTTTATTGGAGCAAAGAACCTTGTCGTTGTACTCGAGATCGATTTTGATATCTGCGACCTCATTGACAGCCTGGCGAAGAATGTCGTTAACCTTTTGCGAGTACACCTGGAGGCCATCGCAAAGGTCGTTGGCAATGTTGGCCGGAATGCCAGGAGTGCGGCGGATCGCCTGCTGGGTGGTCATAATTCCGGCTTGAACTTGCCGAGCGGGAATCCAAGCGGGCTTTCATCTCAAAGTCAGCAATTTGGTCCGGAGCAACAAACAAAAGCCGAAACAGTGAAAACCATAGAAGAAAGGCGAGGATGGGAAAAGGGAGATGAGAAGCCTGGCTCGAGGTGAAAGAAGGGCCCTAATCGAGGCACAATGTGACTTACATGGTCTCTGGCCAGCTCGGAGCGGCGACTCTCCCGGAGAGGGCCAGCCAAAGGTCCGTCAATCTGACAGTGAGTAGCCATCTTCGCGATAATCTTGTTCGTCTTTGTGAGTTCAGAAGTTGGCTTGAGCTTTGTCTTGTCCTCGACGGGGGCAGGATGCTGTTGGATTCGTCGAGTGTCGTTGTTCAAGGAACCCGGGGTATGATGACCAGGAGTCTTGGCGCTGGGGGTAAATCCGAAGTCACGAATAGATGTAGAAGACGGCAGCGGACCGGATCGATGTCCAAAGGTGTTTGGCTGTACGGCAGAACGCCCAGTTGGAGTTGCAAATGCCGTTCTCTCAGAGGGAAATGATGCCTTTCCTGTTGAGAAGTGGGGCGGATGCTGGCTGATAGTACGATTTGGTTTCTGGTTGCTTTCCTGATCCTGACTCTTGGTGGAAGTGAGGTTTGTCGGCTGGAACTTCGGTGGCTGAGGCAACTGGTAATTCTTGTGGTTGAGCTGCGAATCTTGGTTAGAAAGATCGGCCGCAAAGACATCAGAAGGTGATCTAGCATTGCGGACGGTGCTATCAGAAGACGAGCTAGGAGTCGTCCGGAATGGCTCGCGTGTCGCAGCGAACTGGGGCGAATGCTCGGCGAGACAAACGCCTCCGCGCCCAGACCCAGAGCTCGCGCTACCTGAGTCGGCCATCTTGACCACGCGAGACTGATTGGATTGGGAAGTATGGGCGTGTAGGAGGTGGTATGAAACAAAAGGTAGTGTGGAAGAATGTAGAAATACTCGAGGAATATTTCTGGACTGGTGATGGGAGGGTGAAGAGGCTGAGTGATACAGAAGCGCCGGAAGTCTTGAAGGTGGGAAGTAGAAGTGATGGAAGGGTTGTAGGTGATACGAAAAAAAAGGGTGAAAAAAAGTTGATATCTTCCGAGAAGGCAGGTGCAGCCCACCCTAGTCCTTCAAGGAGGTGCACCCGGGAAACTTTTAGGAGAATACGCACAGAGACGGACAGGTGAAGTAGAAGGTGAGCTCGGTGAGATCGCTGGATCTATGCACCGTGTCAAACACCCACCTGCCAACCCGCTTGGGTTGGTCTGTAAGTGAGCCAAAGCCATTTGACACTGGAAGATTGGGGGAGGGAATGAGGCTATGCGAATGAGTGAACAGTATGCAGACCCTACCCCTCGACACTTGTCTTCGTGGCCGGAGAGGATAATGGCTCCTTCGGTCACCACAGTGACTCGAGCCACACAGCCTTGCTATGTGACTTTCGTAAGAGTAAGGAGGAAGGAGAGCAAACATAACAGGCGCGGGAGGAAGACGAATATCAGTGGTTGATGAGAAATGCTACATACCGAGATAGCAAGATCGATAGACTCGACGGTATCTTCGAACGTTGAAGCAAGTGCTTGCCCTTGTCTGGAGTATCGTTGAAGCTATGGGGCCAGTGATCTGCAAAGAATGAGCAAGGCAAGCAAACTTGTCGACTCGTTCGGGTTGTCTGTTGTTTCTCTCGTAAGCTGGATCTCGAGAGGGAAGAGAGAAGTAAAAGCTTACCAAAGGGGTCGATGAAGGACAAACTTGTTCCAGCGCTGTCTCGGTGATCTCAGGGAGAAACCTTGGTATCCATAGGCAAGCTCAAAGTCTGTTGAGAGGCGCACGAGATGTGTCGTCGTCTTCTGGAGCTCCTTGGAGAGCCAGCGATACTGTCGGGCCGAAAAGCCTGGGAGTATTGGGTTAGTGAGCCGCGAAAGGGAAGAAATGTGATGAGGAGACGATGGAGACCTCAATGGGAGTAGAAGTGACTGCCCTTACCTTGTTGACGTTACTCTATTGCTGTCTGTTGAGAGCGAAGGCTAGATTCGACCAAGCAGGCGAACAGAGGGAACCCCCTGGAGCCGCAAGCTGGATGGATGTATGGATTTGAACGGAAGGAATTTCGAGAGGGTTTTCGTGATGGAATTTGAGGAGTAAGGGTGAGAGAAATATGACGAGATAAGTATGGGTGAGAGTAGAGATGGATGGGCGTAGATGATGTTGGAAGGAAGAAGTTTGGGAAAAAGGATGATGAGATGGGTAAAGCAAGAGAAGAAGAGAAGGAAGAAAAGTTTTCAGGTAGCCTCAAAAAGGCGAGAGCTCACGGCAAGGGCTTGCACCACTACTCAAAAGGGCGAGAGCACGGGAGGAACAGACTTTGTCCATGCCCTCTGGAGCGTGGGGAGACTACGGGGATGAAGTTATTTCAGGCCTATTGAAGAGGGCGAGAGCTTACGAGACGAACTTTGACCAATTCTGAAAAGGGCGAGAGTATAGGATGAGCTGAATTCATGTACCACCAGAAGGGAGAGGGAGACAAGTGGGATATCACAGTACCATATGTACCCAAAGAGCGAGAGCTCAGGAGCAAGATATTCAACATGTCTCAAAAAAGCGAGAGCCAAGGGGAAGAGATTTCATAAAACCTCACAAGGGCGAGAGCATGGGAGACAGTTGGTTCTCTTTCTCAACATGATATTCTTTCCTGAAGAAGCGAGAGGAAGTTGTTAGCTTTCACTGTTTTCAGGGGTTTGTGTATGGTCGTCAGCAGGCAGATTTCGACGAGAAGACAGTTGGTGAGAGCTGCTCAGGTCAAGTTATAAAGTATGAATGTGGAAAGATGAGAGGGCTGTTCAAATACTGCCAAATGACCTTGTATAATCTAAGGCTCCTAGATGTTCTGACGGAGACGTCTTGTCATGATTGAGATCATGTGGAGTCGTTGGGTTAAATGCTAAAGAACGATGAGTTATGCGACGAGATAACAATCCTACTTCAGACGGAAAGAAACTCGCAGGACTACTGGTATAGATAATAAGATTCTGTCTAGCTTTGGAAGGCAATGAGAGTGAATCAAGAGTAATAAGGAAAGCATTCCCTATCACAAGCAATAAGATGGGGGATACTATTATCACAGCGTTTGTTCTCGCACCTCCTAGAATCCAGTCAAGGCAGATGGCCTCGGTAGAGGGGGCATCAGGCAAAGCACCACGATGGGTACATGGCCTGACGATCTTTCACGCGGAAATGAAGCAAAAGCAGCCTGCCTAGCTGTGGATGATAGTTGTGACATTGGTGTGATTGTTTAATGTCTGATGAAAGCCCTTACGTGCTGGTGATCAAGGAGAAAGAGAACAAAAGAGGAGAAAAAGGTATGAACAAATACGCTTTTGCAAGAGCCAGGTTGCTCATGCCAACGGGCTTGAGCAAAGAAGGTAGCTGCCATAGGACCGCGAAATTTCTCATCAATCGATACATGAGAGAAAAGAGCCAAAGATCTTGAACGGCAGGTGGCCAGAAGCCAAAAAGCTGGGAAATTGGAACCCTTCTAATCGCACTCAGGAGCACTACTCGTTCGGGCACAAACTGGTCCAGCAGGACCAGAGGTCATTGTGGAGGACCAGGCTAATATGTAGGATGATATAGACAGGCTGAAAGGAGATGTAGTCCCAGAGAACCCGATGGGGCCCATAAATATGCCACCGTGGTGAACATTGACCGTGTACGTTCTCGCTCACGGAGTTATGAACATTGTTGCCAGGTATATAGCCTGACAGCCAGCCTGATGGCCAGCTTGAATAACTTTAAGGATTAACGTGTCCTGGGGGCAAGTGAGACGACAACAATGAGACCACCTGTGACTAGCCATCGCGCCGGTTCATTAAAGATCAAGCAGCATTTGCTAAGAACAATTTTAGTACCTAATGTGGTGCATAAACTACAGCTTCCTTTGTTCCTTACCCAGACGCCGTTTTGGCAACTGTCATTCACTCCGCATGTAATGGAGGACTTGGAAGGGAACAACCTAAGGTACAAATATCAGCCAGAAAAAAGTGGCGATCGAAATGTGTAATCAAAGCTTTTTCTGCAGAGAATCAGTGCGATGTCAACCTGCTCTCCAGTGATGTTGGGGTAGGTAGGCCTTGGTGTCTGATGTGACAAAGACTTGACAGGACGCGGACGGCGGCCTCAGGCGACTCAACGGTGCAAGTCTCGCGGTCGTCAGGGCTCGATCTAATGAGCGAAGTTTGGAGGACGATGGCGTCGGCCTAGCAATCTTGTAAGCGAAGGTAGAGTGACGTGATATATTAGAACCTACTATAGGGGGGTCCTAGACGAGTAGTTTCGGGGCCATGGATTAGCTTTTAGATCGCTCGTGTGCGAGAGAACAAACTGCTGTAGACGGCATCTACAACAGGTGACGCGTCGATCATCCTGCCTCCAAAGTAACGACCGTTGAGGCCTCTGATAGCGTTCTCGCCACCTTGGACCTTGTCGAACTTGAGGTATATGTCGCCCTTGGAGTTCGGATCGACGGAGATGTGTACGACGCGGCCGTATTTGGTTTCTGCTTCCTGTCGAACGTCATCCTCCAATTCCTTGACCCATTCTTCTCCCTCTTCCCTAAAAGATTGTCAGCATCGTATACAAAGAGGGTGTGAGAAGATGGGCAACGTACTCTTCAGGGTCAAACATGTTGTGCAGGACGACGCATCGGCTGGCCATGTTCACGTTGACCGGCAGAGGCTTGGTCTCGGTCTTGGGCTTCAACACCTGTCGCTCATCTACTCCGTTGGAAGCATCATCAGTCCTGGCAAGTTTTCTCATCAGGGCATCACGGCTGTAGTTGTTAAAGTTGACACCGGCGACATCTGTGTCATCAAGGGCGCTGGCACCGCCAGACTTTTCGCTGTCTCTTCCACCCGCGCGATCGAATGCCGATGTCTGGGGGCCTCGGCCACCCGCACCAGAGAATGCAGAGCCTTGGAACTGTGGGTTTTGGCCAGGAAATCTCTGCAAGATGTTGGCAGTGCTCTCAGGGGTAAACTTATCGTTTCCGAGGCCAACGCGAATCGGGCGACCAGCGAGATCGAATCCGTTCATCTTTTCAAGGGCCTCCCTGGCTTGGCTGGCTTCGCGGTATCTACAAACTGTTAGTATTGCCCTTGGAAATTTAGTAGAAGAGGACCAGAACGCACTGCACGAATCCATAGCCTCGGCTGCGTCCATTGTCGTCCTTCTGGAGTTGGACAAACTCAAGTTCGCCGAAAGGCTCAAAGACAGCCTGTAAATCCTGCTCGGTGACGTTGAAGTGAATGTTGCCCACGTAGAGGCGATGGAAGGGGATCGAGTTCGGGTGGGCGTTGGTGGTCTCGGAGTTGCGAACCTGTCGGTTCTTCTCGGCCTCTGTGAGCTGGACGATGATAGGGATACCTAACAATTTCTGTCCGGTAAGTTGAAGCGCTTGAGTGACTGAATCCTCGTTTTTGAATTCAACATAACCGACTCTGTACATGCGGTTAGCAACTCTTCAACTAAAGTCAGGTTGGTTGGACTTCAACTTACCCCTTGGATCTTTGGCTAATGCGATCTTTTACAATCTGAGCCTCATTGACGGGGCCGACCTTCTCGAAGAATGCCTTCAGGTCGCGGGTGCGAAGACGGGCGGCGAGCTGCTGGACAAAGACAGTGCGGCGATCGCGTTCATCTTCAGTAAGTTGTGGTGTTGCCTCACGCTTGGAAGTTTCCTGACGATCGTCGTCCCTAGCCCGGCGATGGTCCCCAGAGTAGCGATCGGAGCGATCGCGGCGTTCGCGATAGTCATCGCGTGATGAGCGGTAAGAGCGGTGGGGTGACCGAGATCGCGAGCGGGCTCGTCCGCCTCTGTAGTAATCACCATCTCCTCTGTGACGACGTGAGCGACGGCGGTCATCATCGCGGCTTTTGCTTCTCCGCCTACTCTTGTGGCTACCAGCGTCGCTCCGAGGGGTTGATGTCTTGATGTCGTCCGGGGTTCCACGTCGGCTCCGTGTCGTGCTACGATCGCGGCGGTCGCGGTCGCGGCGCTCATGGTCTCGACGACGACTATCGTAGTCCCTGTCACGGCTTCCATCGCGGCCGCGATCGCGCTCCTTACGCTCGGAACGGTCGCCATTGGTGCGTTCTTCGACGTCGTGTGTCTTCGTCTCGGTAGAGCTTTTTGCGGTGGCGTCAAGCAACGCCTCAACGTCTAGGCCTGACATCTTGCGCTGATTTTAGTACGAAAGAGACGAGGAAGGAAGAGTCGGCGCTGTTCTTTCGCTTCTGCTGCCTACTTTTTTCGAGATGGCAGGTTTTATCGCGGTGTGGGTGTAGAGGGGAAGAGCGAGGTAATTCGTGGGATGGAGAGGTTGGCGCAGTCACACGAAAGCGTCAGACAGAAATCTTGGGCCAGGCGAGACAGTGAATCGGGCTAGGGACAGCCCAAGCGCTGAACAGGACCTGCTAGGTAGCCAAGCGAATCTGGAAGGTGGCCACTGGTCAGAAGAAGCGTGTCTTACGTAATGACAATGCTGACTCAGACGGGCAAGTTCCGCGTACCACGGTAGCATCACACCTTCCCAAGCTACCTTACCTAACCTTGAAGTACGCTCTACGACTAAGAAATACCAAGGTATCATACGTCCATCTGAGCCATGAGGGATAGACCTTCCTCATCCCGAGAGAAATAATGCGAACACGTGACCATTAGTTACATACCTTTTTCCCAAACTCGAAGCTAAGGATGGAGCATTGCAAAATGTCAAACTGACTTCAACCTAGAGGCCCGACCAGACCCCCTCTACGATTGCCCGTGAACACATTTGCTGCAACGGTTCGCCGTTCAGATGTGCCCATGGCGTCGGAAAAGCTACACCATTTGTTCCTCCATCAAGCTATGATCCTCGCCATGAGCAAACATCAAACCCGTCACCTTTTACAGTCATGGTTGGGCGGGAAATGAACGTGCTGTCTAGTCATTTTATGGCATAATCTCGGTGTGTGGTATCATTCAAAATACTCTGTACTAAAACAGCCTGTCATGAGAACATGACGGCTCTTCCCGGCCGCATCATAGCTGGCCGGGGCGCTGTAATACGCAAGGCTCATCCAAGCCATCTCCTCAGAACGCCCATGAAACGATCCCCATTACAGCGTTAAAGTAAAGCCCTAAAAGCGTATATACATTGTGGGACACGTGAGGGTGAAATTGAGCAAACTTGCTCTGTTCGGTATTAGGAATAAGCCCCAGAAGTCGTCATCATGACATGGTGTATGTTGCGGTCGTATGCGGTGGTTGAGTGGAATTAGTTGGCCTTCACAATGGGAGGAAGTTCGGTGCCAAAGATGCTGTCCCAGAACCGGCTGGTGACTCCGAAGCCGAGCTCGTAGTCGAGGAAGTGGTGCTGAAGGTGGTATTTCTTGAGCTCCTTGTACCACAGGGGGAGGTTCTGGTGATGCAGGAAGTAGTGCGTCAAGTCGTAGCAAATGTAGCCGAAAATGCCTCCGCAGTAGACGGCCGTGGCAGCGTGCCAGCTGTAAGAGAATACCCAGTGCGCGAGCTTGTAGAACGGCGTGGCGAGAACAACAAACAAGGTGGGGGGCATGACCAGGCGATACTTGTCCATGGGCAGGTAGTGGTGAATGCCATGGAGGAGGAAGTGTGCAGTGATGCCAACACGGTTGTCAGGAAGCCACCTAATTCAACATGTTAGTCCAATGGTCTCTCACGTTAGATCAAGTCGCAAGAAAACTTACTTGTCGAGATGGAACAAGAATCGGTGTAGGACGTATTCGATCAAGCTCCAGAGGAAAAATCCAAAGCCCCAGTAGCAGACCTCCTGGAAGGTGCTGTCCATGCCTTCCCTAGCCAGATAGGTGCCGTAGGCGACGGGCGGAAGCCATGCAAGCGGGACAACCCACCAAGGTGTCTTTGACAGAGGCTCCAAGAAGTTGCCAAACAGAGGCGCAGATTCGCCGCCCTTGTAGTGGCGAGGGCGGTGGACTTGATCAAGGTAGAATTCCTTGCTAAAGCCGCCAAACCAAATCTGAGGGAACAAGGGGCGGCTCAAGTCGAGGAACTTGTGCTTCTTATAGTCGCTTGTGTAATCCGTCTCCTTGCTCAGATCCTCCTCGCTGGCCATACCGGTTCGGGGATGGACCCAACGCTCACCGTCCCAAAGCTCGCCGTGCTCGTTCATCTGGACGCCCTCGGCTTCGTCAATCTTCTCGGCAGTGCCGTTCGCATTGCCGTTCGCCTTGCCGTTTCCATTCGCATGTCCATTCGATTTGCCATTTGCTGCGCCATTGACCTTGCGAAGCCCGTCGACGGCCTTTTGGTTAATGACAAAGCCAACCAGGGAGTCATCCAAAACCTCATATGCAGCCTCGGAGTGAGGATGAGAGGTTGGGTCCTTTAGAATGGCGTCGATGTCCTTGCCAGCGTAGTCGTAGACGAGATCGGCTCCACCGGGATGGTCTTGGGCGAAGTCGGTCACATCGTATACATTGGAGCCGATGGTGACATAGCAAGACTTCTTGGAGTTGTGAGCCTCGACCTCGGCGCGAGTGAAGGTGGGGAGAGTTCGCGCCGGCATGTTGGTGGTTGCTTGACGATTGATTCGCGGCGATACGTAAACGGCAGAGAAGGGACTTTCGAAGTACTACTGTTGTCGCTGAGGGTTCCTGGTGCCCGGGCCCAAAGTGGACGAAATAGGAGTCGAAAGACAACGAAGGGAGTGGACGAGTAGAAAGAATCGCAGCAGAAGTCGCAGTCGCAGGCCCTAGCGAAGGAGAGGGAAAGGTGAAGGAAGGAGGAAGAAGTGGCACAGAGGGAAGAAGTATTAAGATGGAGTACGATACGGTGTATGGTTGGGCGACTAAAGCAGGCGGTCTAAGGTAAGGTGGGAAACCGAAAAGGAGCCAAAAGCCGGGAGGGCCGGGAGGGCGAAGTTGAAAGGCCGGGGCGATGTGACTTGAGGCTCGGTGGGCACAGGGTGGTGAGAGAACGGAGACGGGTCGAAGAATTAATTTAGGGGGGGATGTTTGATTTGGGGATCGGGGGACGTGAGGTGAACGTGGAGGCATGCGTGGGTGGCAGAGCCAAGGAGAAGCTCTCTACGCGACTAGCAATCTCTCACCCTTCTCTAGGCCAGAAAAAAAATACGGCCTGGTGGCGTTACTTTGGCACAGAACGGGACCTGGCGGAAGCTTGGACAGCCGATTCGTGGTTCCACCTGTTGACCACTTTCGCCCGGCTCGTCAGGGTTCACACTGTGCGAGTGTCTTTTTCTGTCTTCTTTAGGTGGGCAAATGGATACAAAGTTACAGACCCCGAAATTGCACCTTTTTGTTTACCTACCTCAGCTCAGCAACAGTCGAACACATCCAGAACAGGCAATGAGTGACGGGGTTGACAATGCCAGACTGTATGTAGTGTATAGACACAGACAGTACTCCGTATACAACAGGACCCAGGGAGCCAAAGATGTGTGGGTGGTGAGGGAGGTGTGGGAACCGCTGTTGGTAACCCAAACATGGCCTGGGACGGTCTGGGACGGAAGACCAGGAACGGGGACTTAGGAACATGTAAGAAAGGGCACATAATGCCCACCACGCTATACATTGTCGTTGCCACGACTGCAACAAGCAGAAACGCCACACTACCCAAGTGCACTACCTAAGCCAACAGGCAGGGGAACATCGAAACTTCAAACGGGGCGAAATGGGCATTGGGCAAGTTCGGCAAAATCCCAGAGGTAGAAGGGGGAGGGAAAAGTTGCATGGCAGTTTGGGGCGGGAAGTGGTGACTACATGGACATTTTCATGGTCACTTAATCCCGGTGGAATTAGTCCGCGACAATCACCGAGCCCAATACCTCAGGGCCCAGGCAATAAGCAAATCCAGGACTAGTCACTAAGAAACAATGCAATCGGCTGCCAGCCCAGCCAGATCGACCCAGCTGCCACGTCTGTGCAGCGGGTTCCCTCGAGCCTCCGTACCAAGCAAGTTTTGACTTGACTAACAGGCATCTACGGTTATATGGGCTGGCTGTCTTGTTATCCATGTCGAGTGGGTGATGGTTTTTCTTCGCGTCCTGACCTACCGCCCGGCCTATCTATCTATTGATGTAGGTATTCTTTGAATGAACGATCAGTAATAAGTAATCAGATGAAAGGAACACCGAGCCAGGGGGCCGCAGGAGGAGCGGTGTAACTATTATTCCTTCGATCAAGAACAAGAGCCTACCTACCTTACGTGCTTACCAAAAGGTAACAACCCTGAGGTAACAACAGGTGGCTTCTCGTGGCTTGCAATCGAGGGGTAGTCTTGGAACACTCGAGATAAGATTGGGAATGGACTCTTGGCCTCCCACAGTCTTAGCACCTCCAGTCATGGGCCGTGACCCCCGACCCGAGGACCAAGATCGCGGTGAGTGGCGCGCGATGGCAGCGGCGGCGGTCTGTGACAGCGAGCATTGTTGGGGTCGAGTCTGAGATTGAGTTAGTGGAAGCAAGTTGAAGCGTCTTCTCACACGGCGCATATTGATGCATGAGCCAGAGATGGGAGGTGCAGGCAAGTACGTACCCGCAATAAGTCCTCTTCCATGTTTGATTACACGTGCATTTCACCCGAATGCCTCAATGCCAGTACCGTGCCGTAAGCGTAAGGTATGTACTTTACCTTACCTCAGCCCCCGAGGGTTTACCTAATCCAAATGACCCAGCCACTTCACAGCAGCTGTGCGAAGTCGCAGATAGGTAGTCTGAGACGCAGCTTTCAAGGTTATAATCTGTGGCTCATGAGCCACTCATAGGTCTCTTCAAACAGCATCTTTCGGACTGATGGGTCTTCTGGCCTCGTTAAGGTAGATATGTGAGCTGAACGGATAGACTGTGGCCTATATCACCTTGGGTATCCAGACAGAAAGGACATTTATCTGGATCCTGTTCATCTCATTGGCTTGTCTAGCCTTAGCTGACCACTCCGCACGCAAATACAGCTGTCAGTACCAAGATTAAGGCGCGGCCAAGATTGAAAGAATAATAGATGAGAAAAGAACATGCCTGATCATCTCGTCGTGCGGAACGAGATGCTGGGGACAAGCCTGATGTCCGCCAGGGACGCATGGAATTGGTCCAGGTACCGTCTACCTGATCGGAATGGAACCCCTCGACTTAAGCCAATGGCGGGGCTTTCCTGTGCGGGTCTGCCCTAAGCTATCTTACCAGCCGGATTCCACCCTGTTGCGCGTACCTATGGGAGATACCTACCTAGGTACGGATACTCCGTACGAATACCTTAGGTAAGGTACCTAGGTATGGGCGTATCTGATGGAGGGGCAAATGGGTGCCAAATGAGGTACCTTAGGATGTCTGTCAACGCAAGATTGTTTTGTTATAGTAACCTTCCTGTCTCTTCAAAGTGTAGTGTCTGAAAAGTACAGACAAGATCAGAAGTAATGATTGGAACAATAGAAAGAACAGGAATGCTTTCCATTGGTAAGAGTAAAGCTAGGGTATTGTGGAGCGGCAAACGATTATGTCACCCACTTGAGGGGCATTCATTGTTGGGGGACAGTCGTGGTCTGCTACGCTGAGCTCAGCGCACAGAGAGGCGGGGCAGGGAGCCAGGAGTCAAATAAGGTATTTCAAGGTTCCTGCGCATCTGATGGTCGCATGCACAAGTATCAACTACCTGCTTTACCCCAAAACATCCGGCTCGAGTGATTCAGTGTCAACTTTGGTAATCTACGGCTTTTCTTGGTTTACCCATAGACCGTTATACTGCAGGGCTTCCGTGTTTGAGTTTGCTTTGATCAATCAAAGGTAGAAGAAATCAAGAGTGGATGAAAATGAATCGAGGGACCCTATCTTAAGTTGGGACAGTCAATGCCCATCATGCTTATACCAGGTTTAGCCCAACTTAGCGCGTCTTGCCGGGCAGCTTCGGCAAGACACGTCTATTGCTTCGCCAATCTTAAGATAATCTAGGTATTTCTGGGATATAGCGCCTACTCAGAATTGTCTGTCGTTCCGCAATCTGGGATGTCGCAAGGTGTCTGTTTGTACGTATGTGCTGCCCATCGCGGTGCAATGCAGGTCAGTATGGCACACATGTGACGCAAGCCAATGAGCCTACACTACAGCTTCTGTTTCCACAAAGCTCAGCTGTCACCCACCCCTTTCGCCCACGGAATCATCCAAACGTATTGATCAAAGGTAAGTTGATAGGGCAAGGGAAGCATGAGGTGTCGTCAGCAGTGATTCACACATGCGTGGCGGGGTCAGTCAATCAGTCCTTGATGATAGTGATTCCGCCTCGCCTACACTCTGTGCACTATCTAAGACTACCTTGCGTAAAGCAGCAAACCGCCCCCCTCAGCCCCAAGTTGGCAACCCAAGCCTTCAAAGTCTTTCGCGGCACGTCTTTGCCGCTGCGAGTGCTACCTCAAGTGGATGTCGCCCAGACCATAACGTAGGTAGGTATGTAGGTACTCATAAAATCGTCGGTGGTTCTGGACGCAAACTGCTGCTGTCGCTGCCCTCACTGAAATCTCAGCTTGGGCTTGTGAATTCGACTAGACCCCCAAATTCATCTTCGGCTCTACCTGCCTTGCCCTCATTCGTGTGGGCGTGCCTTACATCACCTTAGGTAACGACTTGGAGCTTACCTCGTCTAGCCAGACTTGAACCTTCCCGCTCACCTTTACCTCACCTCACCTGCTCTTTTACCCCTCCAAAACAAAACAAAAAAGGTCGATTCTTGACCTCCTGGACCCGGACACTCTGCGCGACCCCTCCATCACTCTCCCGAACACCCAACGCATCTTTGCGACTGAACTTCACATCCAGTCTTTACCAATTCCTGGATAGCTTTCCGAGCCTCCCGCGACCCTGAACCATGGCGTCATCCGGTCTCGGGAGAGGTTCCATCCTCCTCGCCTTCTGCTTGCTCCTGGTGCTTCTGCCAGGTCGCGCCGCTGCCTTCGGTGCCGGCAACATCCCCTCTATTGCCCAGGTAGGCTTCGACACCTTGGACACCTCGTCCAATGTTCCACCGTTTCGTAAACTAATGCATCGCGATCTACGTCTAGGTCGAGGGTCACAATTGGCGTCATGGAGGTGCGCACCCTTGTTTTTGCTCTGCTTACCCCTACAGCTGACTGACATGTTTGCGCACAGATATCGAGGACATGCTCAAGACCATTGCTTTCTTGCATGGCAAGAAATGGACCTCCATGTTGGTATCCCGAGTCTACTTTGGCAACTGGCTTCGAGACTATTCCCAAGCCGTCGACGTGGGCAGCTTGAAGGGAGTCAACGCTCCCACCATCAGAATCCTGGTAAGCCCTTGTCGCGACGAAGGTATCGGCGTGTATCCTTTGTACTGACTCTCTCCGACAGGTATGGGTACTCTCCTTCATGGCCTTTGGCTATGCGACGGAGGAATTCGAGGTCACCGAGGAGCGCCTTGGCGTCTACCGCCCTGAGGAACACATCGACAACCCCCTGGGCTACGCTGACGGCATGGACGCGCGCAAGTTCGACCCTCGCCTGCGTGGTCCCGTTGACCCGGTCGAGACACAGATAGATCCCCGCACTGGCATGAAGAACTACATTGCCAATGAGTCTGGTGGTTGGGCGACCAGTGCTGGCTACTTGCGCTTCAGTTTCGCCCGCAGCATCCACTTCGGCCGGGTTTATACCAGCGGCTCGCGGGGTTCAGGAAAAGAAGCTGATCTCTGCGAGGCACTGCGCTGTCTTGGACAGGCTCTCCATTGTATGGAGGACTTCAGCGCGCACAGCAACTACTGCGAGCTTGCGCTTCGAGAGTTGGGCTACCACGACGTCTATCCTCACTGCGGTACTCAAACTGAAATCAACCTGAATGGTCGCCGTGTCTACCCTATCGTAACGGGTACCTTCGGTGCTGTGGACTTCTTGCACTCCGTTCTCGGAGAAGCTACGGACCACTTCACGCAATCTGAGGTAGACGAAATGAATGTCGCCCTGAAGAATGCCGAGGGTATGTCTGCGAACATCACTGGTGGCGGCACCGGATCTCGTGGCTTCTTGGGGATTGGGTCCTCGAAGCCGAACGACTTCATCTCCCTCGTCGGCCAGCTTCCTGGTATTGGTGGAGATTTGGCAAGCCAGGCTCGTGATTTGCAGGCCCAGTCGAGTGCACAGGAGCAGCAAAACACTCGGTCTGGAGGCGACCTCAGTCGTGGTGACTTAAGCCGCGAGAGTTCCAACCAGGTGCCTGGTATGAGCACCAATTTCGACCCTGTCGAGACCGCGCGCAAGATCTATCCGATTCTTCAGTTCCGCGACAAGATTGTCAAGTCCATCAGCAACCTCATCTCCAAGATCCCGGGTCTGGAGAAACTTTTGGATCACATCAGTGAGACGCTGACCGCCTTCATCTTGGGGTTGCTGGCGCCGTTTGTCAGACCCATCATTACACAGGTCTCCAAGGTTCTGAAGGACGGTTCATCTACTGTCATCGACGCAAGCTCGAACTCTCAGCTGGAGCCCTGGAAGAACCCCAACTGCTCTGATCCTACTCACTCCATGCTCTCAAAGGACCATTTCACCAACATCCTGAACTCATGCGCCGGCAGGGTTGCTGCGACTATTCTGCAATATGTCGTCCCGTAAGTAGACACCGTCTATGGTCAGGTAATTCGAACGTAGCTAACGTGAAGATAGGCGAATTCTGTATGCCTGGGAAAATCCGGGTGTGCCTGTTGATGAGGTCGTTAATGACGTCCTCCGGGCTTTCCACCACCCAGCAGCTCGTGATGAGAGAGTCCAAATCCAGAGGGATATGTTCGAGACGGTGAGAAAGTGGGCAAATGAGAGCACTCTCAAGCACCAACTGTCCCACCTGCTCTCGTCCGAGTCTGTCAAGGCTGGCAAGAACCATATCTTGACCGGTGGTGATGGCACGAAGAGCGTTGGAGGTCATACACACTCCCATGGAGCCTTCGACAGCTTTGGAGAGCTGGGACACGGCAAGGTGCAGGGTTCCCTCTGGAACCAGATTCGCACTAGAGATCTCAGCTCCATGGAAGGTGATGACAGGAAGCCTTTGTCAAGCTCTCCCCTCCCTTCATCTCAGCAAGACTATGGATACCACCAGAGCGGCGGTGACACCAGTCACCACTACTCAGCTTCTCAGTCTCAGGGACAGGCTTCTGGCTACTATGGTGGCGGCCAGTCTGAACCCCAAGGCTACGGTCAGCAACAGCAGCAGCAGCACCAGCCGCCTCCGGGCCAGTGGGGCCCTCCTCAACCTCCACAGGGCTATGGCGGACCGGGTTATGGTGGTCCTCCAGCTGGATACGGCGGACCTGGGTACGGTGGACCGCCGCAACCTCAGTACCCTCCTCACCACGGAGGTCCACCCCCACCGCATCATCAGCAGGGTGGCGGAGGCTGGAGCCAGTACCCGGGCCAACACCGCTACTAGATCGTTTTGTGCGGTGCGGAAATGGGAAGGTGTGAACAAGTTAGCGATCGGGTCGCGGATTACGAACTGGAGTCTTGGTAAACACGGGAAAGGATGGGGATGAAAGGGGCGGGGCACGCAATCCACGTATGGCTGATGAGAATGATTCCCTGGAGCTGTGCTAAACAGCACACAAAGTATGAATTGCAATAATTTTTTCTGTGCTTGATGTTCGTATTTGTTGACTTGTATGTTATGGTTTATCTTATCCCTCTCGAATAACCAACCCTTCCTGCCAATGCTCATATGTGGCAGACCAGCCGATGAAAGCCCATTCCGAGATGCCCAACTCCTGAAGATGTGATAACGATGGTGAACAATGCTCCATGATTTTGAACAGGATATGCATGGTGAATATCCCGCAGTGGTTGAAAGTATTACTGCTTGCCGCGCCGAGGATCCAGCGCCTCTGCCCTCCTCTTGTCACGGATCTCCTTGGTGCCGAGACTACCAACTCCGCCCTCCGACCTTCGCTCCCAGCCGCCGAGTCTGACTACCAGACAGGTGGCGTTGTCGCCGTCGTGGGAGACCTCGGTGGCATAGTTGACGACATCCTTGGCGCCCTCTTCGGGCGTCCTGGCCTCCTTGATCACGTCGACAATCTCCTGGTCGCTGAGTGTGCCTGAGATGCCGTCGCTCATGAGGACTAGGAAGGAATACTGCGCTGGGCCAATCTCGACGCGGGTTATTTCTGGCTCGGCCGACACGCCGATGCGTTTGCTTCGCATGTCGCCGAATGCGCGGCTATTGGCCAGCCCCGCGATCCGGTCCTCCCCGAAGCTGTCTGCCGAGACCATTGAACCGGCCGGCGCATAGCGGCGGAGACGACGGCTTTCCGTGGGAGTGGTTGGGTGGTGGTCTGACGTCAGGGGTTGTGCGAGGCCGGTAGCCGTTGTGCAAAGAAGTATACGGGTGTCACCCACGTGAGCAACAATCAGGGTAGACTGCGCATTAGGATGCCAGAATGGTGCTGGAGTAGGCGTCGAAATGAGAGCCACGGATGCCGTCGATCCGCCCTTGAAGCGAGCCGGGCCACCAATGCCGTGGCCCGATGGTGGCTTGTGTGGAACTCCAAGGATCTCGTCGTTATTGACGGGGCGATCGTTTGCTTGAGGGTCGTCGGGATCGGGTTTGCGCGCCTGGGCAGAGATGAAATCCAAGTCTGCTCTGAGGAAGGCGTACATGAGGACGGACTCAACCGTCACCCCAGGCTCGTCGGCATCGTTCATCTTCTCTTCCGACAGTTGAAAGTACTCGGGGTTGAAGCGCCGAAAGTACCCTCCGACAGTCTGACGATACTCTTCCACAAGATCCTGTGCCAACTTGATAGCCTTTGGGATGTCTTCTACTTTGGCTGAGACTGGTTTGGCCCCTTTCATGGGCTCCTCTCTTTCCGGATTCGTCAAAACGCCATGCTTGTCTTCCTCGGGAACACGAATGTCGTCCTTGACATCTTCTTCTGTCTTCATAAAGAGCTCCTCATTCGGGTCTTCCTCCTTGCGACCCGTCTCTGGTGCCGGGCTCCTTGCCAAGCTACTCTGAAGGCCAAACTCGGCAGAGGATTGCTCGATGTAGCCATGCAGCTCATCACGTAAGAACTCGGCGCACTGAGATCCGCCGTGTCCGTCGAATATACCAAAGTAGAAGACCTGGGGGTCACCAAGTGCGCTGTCGGCCGATGTCGCCTCGTTTGGTTTCTGGATCGGTCGCCTCTGAAGACTGATAGGGGCCCTTTTAGCAAAAGCCGGCATGTTGATAGTGCCGGCTTGGTTGGTGTCCTCGTTGTACCCCCGTTGACCCCTCGAAGAGAAAACGCCAAAATGATGCTTAGCTCTCTTGAGCGGGATCCGGACTACTGTAAGATCTCGGCTTGGCATGCTGAGTGCTGCGGCCACTGGAGATGACCCCGGCGTTACTTTGTGGGGGGTCGAAGCATCGCGGGGCAGCTTGTGACCGGGGCCGGATGACGTTCGGGAGTCGGGATGCAGAGAAGATGATGGGAGATGGGTGACGAAGTAGTTATGAAAGAGTCGCCGGCTTGTCGAGCTCGATAGTCTGTCAGTCTTCAGTATGTTTCCTTGTTCGTAACCGAGTGACGTGCGGGTCCGAATCGAAAGCCATCGAGGGGTTGGCTCTTGGGTAGTGTAGCATCGTCGGGGCGGGTGCCTGGGGAGTGCGGAAGAGGTGGGCTTGTCAATGGAAGTTCCGATGCCGGTATCCAGGGAGGAATATACACATCGCATAGCTGGTGACGAGAGGGTCCGCGCCGTTTCATGATACGGCGGTATTCGTCGCGTTGCGAGACCGCGTGTTAAAGCTGGCATTGTTCCGAAAGGGCGGGAGTGTGTTGGCGAGGAAGAGAGCGTCACCGGCACTGCAGCAGCTCAAGTAGGACGACCTTCAAGCTTGCGAAAGCCATGGGCTAGCTCGTCAAGCTTGAACGGCGGCCTAGGGAGCGTGGAGCGGGATTCTGGGTGGGCGAGCTTTGGTCGATGGCGCGAACGAGGGGAAGGCTTGTCAGCTATTGCGTCGGCGACGGCGAGGCATTGGCGTTGGCAATGGCAATGGACAACCACCGAGCTGGATATCGTGCGTAGCCCCGTGAAAGTGTCGAAAGGGCGGGAGGGACAGATGGGTCGTAGAGTTTGCTTGACAGCTTTTGTGTTTGTTTCTACGATTGACTACTTAGTCTTGACGCTGTGAGATTGGAGGATTGGGTTTGGCCAAGGCACACTGTCGGCCTCGGTTGGATCATGGATGGACCCAGCGACGTAATGAGACGGACCTGGAAAGGAAGGACGGGATGGGGACATGCTGAACCTGGAGGTACCTTCTCCGTGCTCTGCCAGCTGCTTGCCTTAGCTGCAGCCAATCCCGCAGGTTAGGTATCCTTGGATTCGGGTAGGAAGAACGGGCCTACCGCACCGTAGCCCAGGACCTACTGTGTAAGCAGGTACCCGCCGAAGCTGTTCTGGTGTGAATAGTACCTGGATAAGTCACACATACCTACCTTACCTTACCTTAGGTACCTTACCTAGGTAAGGTACCTAACCGACAGCTGCCACGGACGTTCGGCTAGGATAATCTTATCTAATCAGCACCCGGGATACACCGTGTAAATGCACACATTCAAGGTTGAAGAAACACAGTAGACCCACTGCGGTGGAATCGAACAGGCAGAAGGGGCCTTTGTCTCCTGGAGAGGCGAATGACATGAGTGTCACTGACACGGCCTCATTAACGACATTTTTGTGTACTCCTACGCATCCAATCTCAAGACGGCTGCCTGACTGACACACTATTTTGCTGGAGCCGTGCGATGGCCAAGTATAGCATCGACATACATGTCAGTCCCTGAGTCGCGGCAGAGATTCCCCTCCCAAGCTGTGCTGTCTTACGATGGGAGACTCAGCAGCAGTTCAGGATGACACATCGGATATGTCCTTGGGCCCCTCTCCCCCCGTTGTGCTCATATCCGACGATGGGGACATTATTCTAAACGTTACATTCGAGACGTCCAGAGAAACGATTGCTGTGGCTCGCAGGACTTGGCAAGCGGCCAGCAAGAAGATTGGCGCACCACGGATGCCCCAACCCAACCTGAGCCCCAACATCCAAGTCGCCTACCGAGTCAAGCTTTCCGTCTTGAGAAAGCACTCGCGGTACTTTGAGAATCTTCTTGGCAACAAACAGTTCGCCGAGGCGAGTAACGTCGAGGAAACCCTCGCTCGCCTGGCCGCGGATAAGCTGAAGCTGGCCGAAGTAGATGCCAGAGACTTACCCTGGATCACAATCGTCGATGACGATGAGGCAACCCGGTCTATCGGCCGCGAAAAGGTCTTTGAGGACTTGATGAGGATCATGCATGGGAAGCAGATACAATCCAACTCTGTCAACATGCTTCATGTGACTACTCTAGCCATTCTGGCCGATCGATTTGACTGCCGATCCTTGGTCTCAAGATACCTTAGTATCGAGCTCAAGTTCAAGTGGCCCTTGACAAATGCTAAACCGGTGCGGGCGGGCACTCAGAAGAAAAGCCTGGACACGGAGAATGTGCTCAGGCAGAAGATCCTGGTCGCTTGGCTGCTGGAGCAGCCGCCTAGACTCCATAACTACACGCGAGAATTGATTCTCCGTGGCTCTGTCCGATGGAGCGAATTGTCTCTCGACGAAAATCCACGCACTGAGCTTTGGTGGAGTCTACCGGATGGCTTGGAGAGTAAGCTGTTTGGCCCTGGCTTCAATAACGGACATTTGCTGACTTGGGATCAGGGGAACTACAGGTCCGGCGGGAGTGTGTTTTGAATACCATTGCTTCAGTCCATCGCCATTTCCTTGCCCTCTACTCGTCTCGTGAGAGACAATGTAAGCTTGGTTACGACTCGAGCTCTGCTTGTGACTCGTTTCAGCTGGGCCAGATGCTCAAGTTCTTTACGGCCAAGGAGCTGATTGGTATCGTTGACTTTGGTCCCAGCTCCTACGATAATATTCCAGATTCCTCGGTCATTGATATCGAAGACATACTGGCAATCCTGAAGCAAGTGCCAAGCTATCAGATTGACAAGCACCACACCAACTGCGGTATTCGAGCACGTCTCGACTCGATCGTGGAATACATCAGATCGATGATGTCGTCTAACGTCTTGTCTATTGCCCAAGTCGAGTGGAAGAACAACCAGGCAACGGCAACATGGGTCCCGGCAGAAGACGGGTCGAAACTAGACAGAGAAGAGAAGAAGTTTGAGTTCACCAGGAGCTTGGCAGGCGATCAACGACTCCGGTACGAGGGTAACATGTATGCTGATAAGATGGCGCGCAGACTATTCACTGCCGATAGATGGGATTGGACGCCAGAATATTGATCGAATAGAGAGACACAAAACTCACAACACCCGGGAAGGGTGCATGACCTGTTGACATCGAATAGAGATGTTTTCCCTCTTCGCTTCAGAATTATAATCGATCCTGACAACGCAAAATTTGGATGCCATTAGTAGTGTTCTTCAGGTGTCATGGATGGATGATAATCACATGCAGTCTTTAACTCTAGACGAGCACACAGAGAGGCTTTCGTAAATGCTTTGGCTAGATTGACAAACCAATCTTTAGGCCCAATTTATCCTGTAAAGCTGGCCACCCTTGTGACCTCGTTATCATACAGACAGCTTTCATATTACATTGTCCACAAGCATAGGTATCCTTTTCAGTCATGATCGTCCATAGCTTCGAGGGTTCAACAACGGCACTCAAATGCCTACCAATCACGACGAGGCGGTCACTGTCTTCGTGGTCGCTGCCCCCTTATCCTTCTCAGATGTGCTCGCCTGCTCGCTTCCGCTACGGTCATCGGAAAGACGCCTGTCGGCTTCCCGTGGAACCTTTGCCTTCATAAAAGGCCAGTGTCCCTTGGTCTCATGGAATCTCATGAGCAGGAAGCAGCCGATGACGAAGATCCAGTAAACATTGTATGAGATCACGGAGCCGTACGTTGCCGAGTTTGTCCATCCGAGGACGGCATTGAAGATACCCCATCCGCCGCCGCCGTTGAGTTCTGGGCTGCAGCACTTTCGAGAGGTCAGTACTGGGACATCAGTCAAGAAACGAAGATAGACTTACGTTTACGTGCCACACGCTCTTGTCAATGTCATATGAACCCGGTCCATTTCCAAGCTCTGCAGCGTCACCGCCGACAACCTTATTCCATTCTTGCTGCTCAAAGTCACCTACTGCCCTGGAAAAGAGGCCAGCGGCAACGAGGTACAAGAGACACGTGGAGATGACAAGGAACACTTGCAGCTTGGCCGTGGATCCTCCCCTTCGCCAAAGTCAGTATGCCACTCGAATTCGTAAAGAGTCATACAACTTACTTGTAAAGGAGGTAGCCGACAAAGGCGCCTACAATTAGCCCGACGACGGCGGGGAGCGGCACAGCAGACGCAGGCGCAGAGAAGGAGACGCCAGCGACGAAAACAATTGCCTCGATGCCTTCACGGAGCACGGTGATGAAGGGCAGGATGAACATGGCGTACTTTTCGGCGAAGCGCTTGAACCACCCCCGGCTCGCACCAGTCTTGACGGGAGACTCCATTGCCTTTGCCAACTTGACGCGCCACTTCTCCTGCATTTTACCAATGCGAAGTAGAGCAGCACCCATGATGGTGATAATGACGGCGGCGAGTAGAGAAAAGGCACCTTCGTAGTAGAGCTCGTGGGCCTCCCAACTGTTTCGACCGACCTTGTAGAAGACGGCGATGACGACAGCTGCGGCAATCAAGCATATCAAGAAACCGATACCTGTACCGAGCCATACCTATTGGGAGAACACATCAGCAACGGGTCTCGGTTCACGAGTGTATCGATTGTCCTTACCTGTCTGCGCAAGGCCTTGTACACGGCTACATCTCTGTTGGGTCCATCGAGAGTCTGCTTGAGGAAAGCCAGCAAAACCGACACAATGATGACGGTTTCCAGAGACTCTCGGAAGACAACCAGGAATACTGGTACGGAAAACACGTCGACGGTCATTTTTGGCACCTGTGAGAAGGGCGTATGTCGTTTGTGTTGGTCACAAATTCCGAGCAACGAAGAAGGAAGAAAGAGGAAGACAGACTTTTGTCTGACATGCGTGGAGAGGGGAGACGGGCAACACAAGCACAGATTAATCTGATAAAATCAAATCAGATAATCGCTGGGACTAGCCGATGAGGGTGCCGGTACTGGTTGGTCTTGTGGCAACGGATACGACGAGCCGAAAGGCGGAACGCTAGCCCAAATTTGCCCGAGGCAAATAAGAGAGGACAGGCATATCTTGATAATCAGCCGACCTTTTCTCCTACAGTAGGTAGCAATCAATCATTGACTTATGGAAAGGGCGGAACATCTGCTGTCGACCGACTGTAGTCCGAAGGGAAGGTTGAGGCGAAGGCGACAAGGCGACAAGGCGAGGAGGGGGACGTGGGACGAAGGTGGTGCAAGCTCCAAAACCCGGTTCCAGGCGTAGGGCCAATTAGACCAGCGCCGAGGTCTCATTGTTGCATGCAGACCGGACCATTTTCCCTCACGACAAGCTTTTCTAGTCGGTTTTAGTACATTTTGGAAGGGGAGCTTCCTGTTTCTCGTTTCGTGTTACGGTGTTGGGGATAAAGCATGCATGGGAGAGAGAGCTGCATCCCTGGGACTGGCCCTCGTTGCTTAGCGTGGATTGATGGAGAAGGGGGCCTCAAACGGACAAGGATACTTGAGGCACTTATGCGCTCGCGATATTGCTCGATCCTTGAGAGTTTGACGGGCGGGAAAGGCTGGTGGGTGAGATGTTGTGATCTGATGGTCGAGATGTAAAGGAAAGGCCCGTGATTCTGACGATCGACATGGGATGACACAGATTGACTTGTCTTTAGCCCAGCATCATTTCTATCTTTGACAAGAAGGACAACGGAATGGCCTATCTCTGAGACGCCCAATTGTCGATCTTCAGCCATATGTCGGCAACGTACAACGCCGTTGACTGGTGCTACGCCAGACAAGCAATGTGGCGGATGCTGGAGGTGTTTTGACGTGGGATGCCGGCGGCAAGCCAGAGATGGGCTCAAAGATGTGCTAGACTGCCACTGCTAGATGACCATCGAGCCAACTGGTTCCCTGTGGCGGGACTCATTACTCGTGACAATACCACTGACAAATTTACAGCATGGAATTAGTTTGGCCTCGACAGCGATGGCGGAGTTCCATCAATAGCATTGCGATCGCCGCCAAAAAAGTCTGATAGGCTGAGGGATTTGGAACCAGCTTTCATAAGATTTGAATAGGCACATGGGACAGATTGACCTAAAGGTATCTTGTCACTTCCTGCCAAGGGTTGGCAACCATGACAACAGTTGAACGACCCTGAATGAACCCTCGGCGATCAAGATTCCATATACTCCGTAACTCCGCACCTGGTCTTTTGTTCTCGAGGATCCCCTTCGACGACACCTTCGTATATCGGTTCATCCTGAGTTTCTATGACAGATCTCGCTGTTCAGCTCGCTCTAGAATCCCAGCAAGGCCGACTAGCAATTTCCACACTTTCCGCATTGACGGAAACCGACGGAATGGGACGAGGTAAAAGAGTCGAGAGACCCTCTTTCTCGACTTCTCATGGAGTCATGGTCTCTTCTTCGACAGGCCATCTTTGCCCACCTCGCCCACATCGGGGACACCTTCTGGCAGAAGCGAGGCCAGGCGAGACCCAATTTCGCCTTAGCGCGGGGAGACAAGCTTTTTCTCGGCTGTAGGGGCCCCTGGTTAGTTGATCTCCTTTGCAGGTGAAAAAGATCCCCTCCCCACCCTTTCTCGTTTGCAAGCTGCAATAGCAACGTGATGGACAAATGATGCCGAGTTCCGTGCGAGCCAGTCGTTTTTTCTCGCTACTACAAGCCATCGTCTCGCGCTATCAATCGACACCTGAGGTCTTCGGGTCTGAGTGGCTTGTGTTAGTGTAGAAAGCTCAGTGGTCTTTCGAGCAACATCTGATAAGATGATGGCGCGCTAAGCAGGTAGCGTGTGCCCAGCCGTCCCCCTCCGGCCAAGGAGCTGGAACGAAAGGTGTCGGGACCAGTGGAAGATCAGATTGATAAGATGTCTTGGGCAAAGTGCCAAAAGCCGCGAAAAGAAGCGACAAGGGGAGGAGGGGGTGGAAACTCGAAGGGCCACCCCAGCCAGGGTGGCAAGCATTGGTCCTCCTCGCCAGAAGTTGCCGTTTCCTTGAAGCGAATTGAGAGGAGAGCCAGCCAGCCACACAGATAGACCTGACCCAAATCGAACGGAAGTTTTGTAGAGGGCCCGTTTCCCTTTCTTTCGAACGATGTGAATTCTTCTTGCCTCTGGTCTGTCCCCGGATCAATCTTCCTGAAGGGATACACAAGAAGCCGCTCGTGTCACTGCGAGACTTGACATTCTCCGCCGCCTTGCTCCTGGCGAATTCTTTTCTCCCCTGCGCACCACGGGATAGCAAAGACCGAAGCAGAGAAACAGAAGAAGAGAAACGTAAACATGACAGGCACAGCAGGCCTCTTGGCCCTCCTCTCCGCCATCGTGCAGACGGCCTACGCTGCCACAGTCACGTATGACTTTAACATTGGCTGGGTGACGGCAAACCCAGATGGTGCCTTCGACCGTCCGACAATCGGTATCAATGGCCAATGGCCGATTCCTCGCATCGATGCCAATGTCGGAGACAATGTTATCATCAATGCTCATAACCAGCTAGGGAACCAGTCGACCTCCCTTCACTTCCACGGCCTCTACATGAACGGCACAACCCATATGGACGGACCGGCTCAAGTCAGCCAGTGCGCCATTCCGCCGGGGTCGTCTTTCACTTACAACTTCACCGTAAGCAGTGCTTTTTTGAGACGGTTGATGAGAGAGACTTTCTGACAGTCGAGTGTAGATCAACCAGCCGGGAACATACTGGTACCACTCCCACACTCAGTCGCAATATCCCGACGGCCTGCGACAAGTATTCGTCATTCACGACCCAAGCTCGCCCTTCAAGGATCAATACGATGAAGAAGTTGTTGTATCTCTGTCCGACTGGTACCATGACCAGATGGCCGACCTCATTCCTCCCTTCATGAGCAAGGGCAACCCAACGGGCGCAGAGCCCGTCCCGCAAGCCGCTCTCATGAACGACACGCAGAATCTCAAGGTCCCGGTGCAGCCCGGCAAGACATATCTCTTCAGACTAGTCAATGTGGCTGCCTTTGCTGGGCAATACGTCTGGATCGAGGGTCACAATATCTCCATTGTTGAGGTCGACGGCGTCTACACGGAGCCCGCGGAGGCGAGCATGATTTACATCTCCGCTGCTCAGCGGTACAGCTTCCTCGTAACGACCCGAAATGATACCTCGTCCAACTTTGCGATTGTGGGAAGCATGGATACTGTAAGTTACGGCTCAGCTCCAACCCGTATATCTCGCACATAAAGCTCACCAAATAGTCCCTCTTCGATACCCTCCCGGATGACCTCAACTACAACGTAACCGGCTGGCTCGTCTACGATGACTCGAAACCTACAGACCCTGCAGCGACGCTCGACGCTTTCGACCCCTTTGATGACATGACCCTCGTCCCTTACGACAAGCAACCCCTTCTCCCGGAACCCTCCCAGACTGTTGAGCTCGATGTCATCATGGATAACCTCGGCGACGGTGCAAACTACGCCTTCTTCAACAACATCACCTACAAGGCTCCCAAGGTGCCCACTCTCTACACCGTCCTCTCCGCTGGTGACGCGGCGACAAACGCAGAGGTATACGGCACATACACCCACCCCTTTGTGCTCGAGCGCAACGAGGTCGTCCAGATCATTGTCAACAACCTCGACCCGGGCCGTCACCCCTTCCACTTGCACGGTCACGACTTCCAGGCGCTGTACCGCGCCGCCGAAGACGGGGGCACGTTCGCCGATGCTAATGTTACCGAGGCGGATTTCCCTGCTACGCCGATGCGTCGCGATACCCTCGTCGTTTGGCCGAATGGAAACATCGTTTTGCGTTTCAGAGCAAATAATCCTGGTAAGTTGGTCTACACAGTCCAGCCTGTGAATGTATCCGATTTTTTGATTGAACCATCACGATTTCTAACAATCATGAACCCCAGGCGTCTGGCTATTCCATTGCCACATCGAGTGGCACGTAACCTCCGGTCTCATGGCAACCTTTGTCGAGGCACCGCTGGATCTCCAAAAGAACCTCACAATCCCTCAGAACCACTTGGACGTCTGCACAGCAGGCAGCGTGCCGACAACCGGCAACGCCGCGGCCAACACCAAGGACTACCTGGACCTGAGCGGACAAAACACACCGCCATCGCGTCTTCCGGACGGGTGAGTCATCTTGACACTTCAATGCTGTAGTAAATCACGAAAATGCTGACGGAAAGCTTGAAACATCAGCTTCACCTCGAGAGGTATCGTCGCTCTCGTCTTCAGCTGTATCACTGGCATCCTCGGCGTTTTGACCGTGGCGTGGTACGGTCTCGCAAAGACGCCAGACGGCCCCTCCGAGTCCGGGTACAGGGCGCCGGCGCCGGGCGTGGCCGCGGGGGTGGACCACGCCGCCGGAAATCATCAAAAGGAACCAATCATGGTTGGAGCCGGACCCGGCGGGTCTGGTGTAAGTCATGCTTGACGGTGAACTGGTCTGATAGTTGTGCAGTGAGCACCATGTTGTTGAATAGATGAGCACAGGCGCAGTTCGGCCAAGCAAGCCATTTTGCCCTGGCGGGGAGGTCATGATGTCTCATCCACGTAGCAGGATGGTGTAACACTATAGCGTGATACTTCTTTTGACGACATACCTGGTGACGACGTTTGTAAGAGTTCGTGGGCCCGATTTCATGAATAGATGAAGCATCAATTAGTCTAATGTGTGGAAGAAATTGAATAATGAAGACAACAAACTCCAGACTCCTGAATCTGCCATTCGGCCAAGACTCTCGTTTCCTTCCTCTCCTACATGGTTGTCCTCGGCGTTCCTAGCCGGACATGTGTGAATGCACCTGGTGCCATTAGAGTTCCATACCAAAAGAATCTGCTCCTCGCCGTGCTCATATCTTCTAGAGACTACACGGTCTTGAACTGGAGCTCCTCAATTCTCTCTTTTCCCAGCACCGTCGCCAGTCGCCGGTGACGTGGCCATTTTGGTACGTCGACACAGATCCGTTGATGGTGCAGCTGCCTTCTCCTGCCAGCTTATCACGGAGAAGGCGCGCTCTGGAACGCAAGCTCTCTCATAAGCAGATTGACGTCAAGAGAAGCGTCCGTTGGTGCGAACGCACTTGTCGCCACTTGCTGGCTGACTTAGGTGCTCTTGGTCTTCTTCCTGGGCAAGCCCTGCGCCTTCCTCATGGCGAGATCGCCCTCAGCGAGCCATTTGCTCGCCTTGACAATTTGCACAATGTTGATGAACTGCTTCATAGCCATAACGGGGAAGCTGATGGCAGTAAGGACCCAGGGCCAGAAGGAATCCATCTTGTTCGCGCGCGCAAGCTCGAGAGCTGCCGCGCTGTAAGGATTCGGGAAGATCTGGCTCAGCAGCGATGTATTGACCTGTGCGCCGGCCTGAATCTGCATGGCCTCCGAGTTGGAGACGGAGTTGAGGAGAGAGGGCGACAGAAGCGGCGA